TGATTGCTCAACATGAGGCATCTTTCCAGCGCCATGAAGCCGTTCTCAGCCAACAAGAAAAGCTGATGACCAGTCATTCTCATCTCCTGGGTGAAATGATGAGTTCCATCCGCCAGCTCTCCGAACGCCTCCCTGTTCCCTCACCTTCACCTTCCCCGACAGGCCTTCTCCATTCACGGAGCCCCGACTTCCACCTCCCAAGCCCTTTGCTGGAGATCCATGTTCCTGCCAGGGTTTCCTCACCCAATGCTCCCTAACCTTTGAGCTTCAACCCTCAAGTTTTCCCACAGACCGTTCCAAGATTGCTTACATTATTACCCTCCTTTCAGATAAGGCGCTCTCCTGGGCCTCTGCAGTATGGCAGTCCCAGGATGCTTGTTGTGCCTCCTATGAGGATTTTGTGAAAGAGTTCAAGAGGGTGTTTGATCATCCTGTCAGTGGTAGAGAAGCTTCTAAACGCCTACTTTCTCTTCGCCAGGGTTCCCGCAGCACTGCAGATTTTGCCATTGAATTTCGGACCATATCAGCAAGGAGCGGATGGAATGATGAAGCGTTGAGGGTCTGTTTTCAGGCAGGGTTGTCGGAGCCCCTTCAAGATGAGTTAGCCACCCGAGAACCAGCTGAGGATCTCGAGTCCCTCATAGCATTGGCCATCCGCCTGGACAATCGTCTGAGAGAGCGGAGAACAGCTCGCCGCCAGGTGTCTCAGTCCCAAGTTAATCTGAGCAACTCTGTTACTCCAGTTACTGTTCCTTCATTCAGAGCTTCCCCGGCCCCTGAACAGCTCCTGGATTCCCCGGAGGACATGCAGTTAGGCCGATCCAGGCTTTCTCCCAGCGAAAGGGAACGTCGCATGAGGGAGCGCCGTTGTCTCTACTGTGGGGTTGCTGGCCACTTCCGCTCCACTTGCCCTGAGCTTTCGGGAAACTCCTGTCCCCGTCCAGCTACAGGAGGACTGTGATGGGGAAAATTAGAGCTCCTCCTACCAATGCTGTCCTTGCTATTCCAGCCACTCTGTCCTGGGGAGGCCACCAGCATCAGGTCCAGGCTATGATCGATTCCGGTGCCGCAGGTGACTTCCTGGATCTAACCTTGGCTAAGGAACTTAAAATCCCTACCCAACTACTTCCTCATCCCCAGGCAGTTACAGCTTTGGATGGCAGACCTCTGGAACCAGGCAAAGTAACAGAGGTGACTCAGTCCATACGACTTACTGTCTTTCAACACCAGCAGGAGGAGATCTTTTATCTCATTGACTCCCCTGAGTATCCTATTATCCTGGGTCACCCATGGCTGCGCAGACATAATCCCCAGATCGACTGGCCTACTGGCACCATCCTAAGCTGGGGATCCACTTGCCAACTCACCTGCAAGCTTCAGAGTCCCTCAGCCCCTAGTTCCGAGTTTCAAGAGTCTGTCGACCTCTCCCGAGTCCCCAGTGTTTACCATCAGTTCAAGCCAGTGTTCAGCAAGTCCCAGGCTACCTCCTTACCACCTCACCGAGCTTATGACTGTGCCATTGAGCTACTCCCTGGTTCCTGCCCTCCAAGGGGTCGTGTCTTCTCCTTATCCTCTCCTGAGCACTCTGCTATGGATGCCTACATTAAGGAGTCCTTGTCAGCCGGCATCATCCGTGCCTCTACCTCTCCGGCTGGGGCAGGGTTTTTCTTTGTAGAGAAGAAAGACGGGGGTCTTAGGCCTTGCATAGATTACCGGGGCTTAAACAAGATCACGGTACGTAATCGATACCCCCTTCCTCTCATGGTCACTGCTTTTGAGCTGCTTCAAGGGGCTTCCATTTTTACTAAACTGGATCTCCGCAATGCTTACCATCTTGTGCGGATCAGGCAAGGAGATGAATGGAAGACGGCCTTCAACACCCCCACGGGTCACTATGAATATCTGGTGATGCCGTTCGGACTCACTAACGCCCCCGCAGTATTCCAAGCCCTGATTAATGATGTTCTTCGTGACATGCTTAATCTGTTCGTCTTCGTATACCTGGACGATATCCTCATCTTCTCAAAATCACTAAAGGAGCATGTGGGGCATGTTAGCCAGGTTCTCCAGAAACTTCTTGACAATAATCTCTACGTAAAACCAGAGAAGTGTGACTTTCATGTTTCCCAGACTCAGTTTCTTGGGTTTATCATCACTCCCGGCCACCTGGAAATGGATCCCAAGAAGGTCAAGGCAGTCCTCAACTGGCCCACCCCTGCCACAGTCAAGGAGGTTCAACGTTTCATTGGCTTTGCAAACTTCTATAGGAAGTTCATTAAGAATTTCAGCTCGGTGGTTGCCCCCTTAACAGCACTTACTAAGGGAGGAGGAACCAAGATTCACTGGGGTTCGGAGGCTGCGGGGGCCTTCGAGGATCTCAAGTGCCGCTTCACTTCCGCTCCGATTCTTGTTATTCCTGACCCAGAAAGACCTTTTGTGGTGGAGGTGGACGCCTCAGAGGTGGGGGTAGGGGCCATCCTGTCACAGAGGGGTGAGGATGGTAAATTACACCCTTGTGCCTTCATGTCTCATCGCCTGTCTGATGCCGAGCGTAACTACCATGTGGGGGATCGAGAGTTGCTTGCGGTAAAACTGGCCTTGGAGGAGTGGCGCCATTGGCTTGAGGGGGCTCAGCATCCTTTCCAAGTTCTTACCGACCACAAGAACCTGGAGTATCTCCAGCAGGCTAAGCGGTTGAACCCTCGGCAAGCGCGATGGTCCCTGTTTTTTAATCGATTCCAGTTTCTCCTATCTTACAGACCCGGCACCAAGAATGGCAAGCCGGATGCCCTCTCTCGAGTCTACTCTCCCGAAACACAGGAGAAGCCCTTGGCATCGATTATTCCAGGGTCTAGGATAGTTGCGCCTCTTCAATGGGAACTAGAAAGATCCAGGTGGTGGTCCCGATCCAGGTGGTGGTCCTGCCGGACGCTTGTACGTTCCTCTATCTGTTCGGGCCCGGGTCTTGCAGTGGGGTCATGAGTCGCCCTTGACGTGCCATCCAGGTAGTGCTCGCACACTGGAATTCCTCCAGCGGAGGTTTTGGTGGCCGTCCATCAAGAAGGATGTCCAGGTTTATGTGGAGGCCTGCCCTGTGTGTAATCAAGGAAAGACTACACGTCAGCGACCCCAGGGTCTGCTCCGTCCCTTACCTATTCCCCAAAGGCCATGGTCACACCTTTCTCTGGACTTTGTTACAGGACTTCCTCCATCCCAAGGCAACACTGTAATCCTGGTGGTTGTTGACCGCTTCTCTAAGGCTGCCCGGTTTATCCCCCTGCCCAAACTGCCTTCAGCCAAGGAGACTGCTGAGCTCCTAATGAATCATGTCTTCCGGATATTTGGAATTCCCCGTGATATTGTCTCTGATCGTGGTCCCCAATTCTCATCCCGGTTTTGGGGGGCCTTCTGCAGACTTATCGGGGCCACAGCCAGCCTATCATCCGGGTTCCATCCTGAGTCTAATGGGCAGACGGAACGGATTAATCAGGATCTGGAGACCACCTTGCGGTGTATGGCAGCCAGTAATCCCACTTCTTGGGCCACCTATATTATTTGGGCTGAATATGCCCACAACACCCTCCAGTCCTCGGCCACCGGATTGTCCCCTTTTGAATGCCAGTTCGGATATACCCCTCCACTATTTCCTGAGGAAGAAGTGCAAGTTGGTGTTCCCTCTGCACAGCACTTTGTCCTACGCTGTAGACGGACCTGGAAGAAGGCTAGGCGTACACTCCTGCGGACCTCCCAGAGATACCAAACCCAGGCTAATCGCCGCCGCCGGACGGCGCCTAATTTCCGAGCTGGTCAAAGAGTCTGGTTGGCTACTAAGAACCTGCCCCTCCGGGTCGAATCTAAGAAGCTTTCCCAGAAATACATCGGACCTTTTCGCATAGCAAGGAAAGTTAACCCGGTTTCTTATCGTTTGTTTCTCCCTCGTTCCCTTAGAATTAATCCCACTTTTCATGTTTCATTACTTAAACCTGTCTTGTCTTCTCCCTTTGCCCCCCCCCCGCAGACCCCCTCCACCTCCCAGGATCATTGACGGCCAGCCAGCCTACACAGTACGCCGGATACTGGACTCCCGGAGGGTCCAGAACTCTCTGCAGTATCTGGTGGACTGGGAGGGCTACGGACCGGAGGAGCGCTCCTGGGTTCCTGCCAAGGACATCCTGGACCCAAGTTTGATCCGAGAGTTTCGCTCCCTGAGGCCAGGGTGTTCTGGAAGGAACGTCAGGGGTCGTTCCTAGAGGAGGGGGTCCTGTGAGAATCCTGCCTCCTGTTGTTCTTCTCCGGGCCTCTAGAGGTCACCTGTGTTCCCTTCTGCCTTAGTTATTCCTCATGCATCCTTGTTAGCTATTATGCAGGTCACCTGTGCCTTGTTTTCCTTAGAGTATTTTAGCTGTGTTTTTTCCCCTTGTTCCTCACTCGGTTTTTGAGTCTTGGCTATGTGATTCCTGCTGTGATCTGCTGTGTTTTTTTTAAGTTCCAAGCAATCCCAAGTAAGCTATTCTTAGTTGTCTGAGTTAGTTTTTTCTCCCCTCGTGGAGTTGTTTTATTTTTCTCCTGTTATTGTTTGCATTTTTTCTCCTATTATCATTCCTCTTTCTCTAAAGAGCTTTTGTTGGATTTTTGACTTGCAAAGTATCTTTTTTTTTAATAAATCTACTTTGCCTGGAGTATTGCCTTGAGTGTTTCGTTTGGGTCCAACACTACCTCCTCTGTGGCTAAGTGGTAGAACTTTCATCTTTCCACACCAGAGACCCGAGTTCGAGCCCAGCTCGTGACATAACCTAACAGTCTACTGACCGTCTGCTATAATATACTAATACTTTAATGAGAGTTACTTGACATGTAGTTGAAAAGTTCTTTATAATTAGAAGAACATCTAAAGTGACTATCGAAATAAAGAAATACGTCACTCATATAAACATGAAACTAATCATCTACTAATTAACAGCTAGATAAGCTCATCAAACTCAGCTCATATTCAAGCTCACCAACATCCATGGCAGTCTCCATGAAGCTCTTCTGCCTTGAGGCGAACTCTGCCAGCAGCTTCTGCTGTCTCTCTCGGGCCCTCTGACGCCTGCAGATGTCAAAACACAACTTATTTGCATCATTAACTTTAATTATTAAATATTATCAAGCACTGAAATGTTGACATGATCATAATCAGATTACATTAGATGACATCCGCATTTGACCACCATTTACTGGGAATATATCATTCTCAGAAGTCATTAAGTCCAATGGAAATCCTCATTACTTAGAGATGCACTGACAGAAATTATGTATATTTCATGATATTTTCAGATAACCAATATGGTGGCCATATCATAAAATGTAAACTATGTGTTTGTAAATAAATAAATATAATGTTCATGCTATTAGTGATTACGTTACAATGGACAATATTAAAAATTGGTTAAAGGGGGACAAGAAACAGCATGTTGTGTCACGTCTATACATTTGAACATTGTTTTCTATGAGTTTACAGACATCCCACCACTCACCCGTCTGTGTGTCCGCAGTACACAGCTACGAATGCAGAGGCTGTTCGAAATTATTTCAACTATGTCACGACTACTCACACAGTTTTCCATTAAATATTTGTCACAAATCATAAGTAATATTCATAATGACATCACCCTAGCCTGGAAGAATGTGTATAGTGAATTCTCAGCAAAACGTGAATAAAGTCTATATGCTTTATACAGAGAACTACAATGAAATAGATCACTCTTTTTAAATTTTAGATTTAGATTTCCAAAAATCCCATTCAGTGAAAAAAAGCCTGTATATTTATTTCACAAATTGTGTGTTGTGTGTTCACATTAGCCCTTTTCACACAGCAATCCCAGTAATATTACCGAAAAAAAGCTAGAACGACTTTACAGGTAAATTCGAAAACGTGCTGTTCACAGACGCAACACTCTGTGATGATGTCATTAGCCGGAAGTTTATGCCTGGTTGCTAAAGAAGGCTAGTTATTTTATCATACGTGACAGTTGTTGACAAATCTGTTCATCCACCCGGACGAGGAAGCGCTTTAGTTTCGGTATCACTCCAATTTGAAGACATATGTAAACAGTGCTGAGTAAATGCATCATCTATTCTACATCATTATGTTATGAATGGCCCATGGCCCAAATCACTTCTTACGGCAGAGCGTTCTGACCTCATACATACAAAATACCGGTAATCTTCATTCCGCATTCACACAGCACATACGTATATTGGAAATTAACTTCCCTTACTGGTAAGTTACAGAAACCAGTTTACCAGTATATTCGAAAAGCTCCTTTCACACATGATCTTTTACCGGTAATTTGACAGTAAAGTCTGTATGTGTGAAAGGGGCTATTGTCTATCTGTGTCAAATGTGCAGAATACATCCTGAAAAGTGAAGCCAAAGCATTTAAATCGCCCCCCTCACCCTCTCCGTGTAACCAAATTACACTTTTTTTCTCTCTCCCAAAGATGGTTTCTGTCATTTTAGGCAGTTTAGGACTGTTCATTTTTACAATAAGTTTTGTTTTTGTTAGTTATTTGATTTTTGTTCACACCCAAGCGATTTTGGCTGACGATGAGGCGAGTGAACATGCAAATTCATTCCCTGACATTAGATGGCGCTTAATGTAATGATATCTTGCTTTGCATCTTCCCTGTCTTCCGGCAGTGTAGAAGGTGGCGTATATCTTCTTCGCCGTTACGAATGTGTGCTTGGTAAGACGGTTTTGTGTTTGAGCGCCCCAAGTTGTGTTTTACTGTAATTTCAGAAGCACCAGACACATGAGGAAAAGCACCAATCTCATTGGTCAGATAGTTTATGACACGGCGCGCAGCGCATCAAACCAAAAAAAAAAAACAAAACCAAAAAAAAAAAAACGAAGCCAAGCCATTTTTTTTAAAAAAATGACGCTTTTACGCATGACGTTTTTCGCATCGGTGTGCACACTCACATTGGCGCCCTTTGTTTAGTCACGAGGCGTTAAACGGTGAATATCGCACGCAAAATTCATCCTGGTGTGAACAGGGTGTGAGGGATCACTTACTTACTTACTTCAATGGCGTCCTCTAGAGCCAGACCGATATATCAGCAGACCGATATTATCGGCCGATATTAGGCATTTTCCAAACTATCGGTATCGGCAGTTATAATGGCCGATAAATGAATATTTCAAAAATAAAATAAAAACGGACGAAACACGCTTGGATCATGTCATGAGTGTTGGAGTTGTATAGTTTGTCCACCAGAGGGCACTCTACACCGTTCCTGTTGGCAACACTCGTTGAGTTGGGCACGATACATACATTGCTTGAATAACAATTAAAAGAACATCTGCATCAGTTCTCTTGACTCAAATAAGCATGACAAAATTTGTGACTATCATGTCCTGTTTTGATGCTGTTAAATAAGCCGAGAGCGAAGCAGAATTAGCTAGTAATAGTTACGCAACGTTGTTAGTGTAGTTGACTGACTGTCCTTTTAACTTTTGACAATGTGACTGAAGTATTTCTTTAACAGTGCGTGACAGTTATAGCAATGAGACGTACCATCTCTCCTTGGCCTGTTATATTGAAAATGTATGTTTTACAATTTGCAGTTTGACATATTATGGCTCATCATAGACTAGCTAACCATAAAGCTAGCTAATGCCACTATCATCAGTCTGTTCTGTTGTGACAATAAAAGAAACAATTTTTTTTTTAAACGCATTATCATATTATTTTAGTTAAAACTCATAAATAACTACAAATAACTAATGTTAGGAAAATCTGTTAATGTTTTTTTGCACGTTTCTGAAATAAAAAAATAAATATAAATATCGGCCGATATATCGGAATATCGGATTTTAAAAACCCCCAAAAATTTGTATCCTTATCGGCCTTCAAAATCTTTTATCGGTCGGGCTCTAGCGTCCTCTGTAAAAAGCTGTATAAAGCTCCTAGATTACAATTTTTTTGTCTACCGAAATTCTTTTAAAGACATTTTTGCAATGTTTCATCCGTAGAACAATCCAAAAAAAAACTTTAAATAACAGAACAAATCCCACTGAAGAGATGTACGTCTATGGCCGTGTGTCCACCAAAGCGTTTTTCCACGCGCCTGGCGTATGTTTTCAATTGTTTTCAATGGGAGCGCCGCGTTTTTTAAATGCCACGAGCGTACCGAGGCGCTGAACGTTTTTTTCACGCTGAAGCGCCGAGCGCCCGGCGTTTTTTACTGGTCGCTGGGAGCTGAAAAATGTTCAACTTTGGATAAAACGCAGCGCTCATCACTGTCACTTTTTACTCAGCCGTCCAATCACAGTGGAGGAGAGGCGGGACTAAACCACACTGACCAACTGTCACAACATTCAAACTGTGTTGCAGATATTCTGTATCATAGCAACGAAACGTCTCAACGGAAAAAACGCTGCGCTGCCAAAACGCTCTCAAGCGCCCAAAGCACGGCGTCTTCAGCAGAGCAGCTGGCTAAAAACGCTTTGGTGGACACACGGCCTATCCCTCACAGCCTCACTTTCTTTCCCACTAAAAATCCAAGATGGCGCTGGAGTGAATAAGGTCTAATCAAATGGAATATGACACCTTTGACAGGGAACACACACACACACCTCTCTTCCTTGTCCATACTCTTCTTGTCTCCAGGACTGTTCTTCTTGGGAGGTACGGGTGGACACACCTTTCCACAGATTTCTTGTAGGCATCTCTTGCTGTGCCGGCTACGCGCGGCAGCTTTGGCTAAGATTCTTTCGATGGCTGTTAACCCATCCCCGTGTGCGTGATTGGCCGGATCCACCTCAGCTAACCAGCTCAGAGACAGAGAGTTTTGCTTGGCAGACAGTTTCTGGTGCAGTTTGACCAGGAGCGACAGCATGCTCTCCCGGATCTCCAGGATCTCAGTCACCAGCTGCGGGGGTGATCCGGGCGGGAGCCACCGGGAGGACGAGGACTTGGGTCGCACCGCCTGACTGGCCTCGTGGTTGCTGCGGTTAATGATCTCCTGGAACTTCCTCCTACGCTCTGCCACGAGACTGAACACTTGAGCTTCACGCAGGTTCTGAGGAGAAACCACAGACAGAATAAACTGGTAGAATGACAATTACACATGTAGGCCACACACACCAATGTCACACTCATGGTTGCGTTGAGAATATTTGTTTGGTCGTAGTCATTCAGAGTAAGTAGTCCACATGCTAATGAAGCAATATTGAGGGTGAGGCAGTGTGTTAAATCATTGTAATGCACAATCTGCTTTTATAATACAGCTTTAAAAGAGTAGTTCACTTTAAAAAAAAAATAAAATAGCTGATAATGTACTCACCCCCATGTAATCCAAGATATCAATGTCTTTCTTTCTTCAGTCGAAAAGAAATTAAGGTTTTTGATGAAAACATTCCAGGATTTTCTCCATATAATGGACTTCATTGGGAACCAAACGGTTCAAGGTCCAAATGAGAGTTTCAATGCAGCTTCAAAGGGCTTTAAACGACACCAGACGATGAATAAGCGTCTTATCTAGGGAAACGATCAGTCGTTTAAAAAAAATAAATAAATAAAAAAGTTTAAGTTTTAGAAGCACAAATGGTCGCCTTGCTCTGTTCTGTGATGAGCGTTCGTGACTCTCCTGTTCAAACTTGTTGATCAAAATGAATAAATCTTTTTTCGAGTCATGACTCGAAGGGTCCTAGATAAGACGCTTATTCATCGTCTGGTGTCGTTTAAAGCCCTTTGAAACTGCACTGAAACGGTCTTTTGGACCTTGAACCGTTTGGTTCCCAATGAAGTCCATTATATGGAGAAAATCCTGGAATGTTTTCATCAAAAACCTTAATTTCTTTTCGACTGAAGAAAGAAAGACATGGACATCTTGGATGACATGGGGTTGAGTAAACTATCAGCAAAAGTATTTTTTTTTAAAGTGAACTACTCCTTTAAGATAAGTTCAGATTTACAATTTTTATTTGTTTATTAATTAGTAAACATTTACTAAATGTTAATAAACAGAAGTTCTAGTAATAACTACTGTAGGTTTAAAAAGCTTGAAGTACCAGTGTTAAACAGTGTTCAGTCGCAAACCAATTACACCACTTGCCCACCACGGCACCACCCACCGTCGTTTAGATTTTTTATAGTAATAAAAATCGATTAGTTCAGTTAGATAACAGACACTACAATTAAAAACTGAATGTGTCTGCTCAGTTTAGAGTGAGCCGAAAGAGTCGCAACACAGATCAGCACCAGGAGTCAAATTTCATCAATCACGGGACGAGTCACGAGCTGACTGACAAGACGATGGCGGAAGATATGGTTTCAAATCTAAATGTAAATCCGCCTATTTGGCAAATGGCAATATTTTGGATTTAAACCCAATGCTAATAGGGAACCTGCAAACATTAATGAGGCAATCTGTAAACTTTGCCTGATGAAGGTGGCAGCATCCAGAGGTAACACTTCTAATTTACACACACCGTGTACGTCAATAAAAGTTCTGTTTAACATGAGCGAGTTTTATCATTGTACGTTTTTTTGTTGTTGTGTTTTTCATTAGGATAAATAACGAACCCACCATTGAGGCAATTGCCGCCCCTGAATTGCCGCTAATTCGACTTGCAACAGCAAATCCATGTCTTGAAATTTGTATGTGGCTCAAATGAGGATTTGGGATTTCTGAACCAGTAAGCAGCCTCACAGAAACACCACTTTGTGCCTCATAAGAAACAGTTATTAGCAAGCGACATTTGCTGCCCAATGGGGGAAACAGAAGGGCAGGAAATTAGATCAGAGAAGGACTTCAAACAAAATACACGAAGGTGGAGTGATGAGCTCAAGGTTGGACCAGACAATGGTCTTAAAAATAGCAAGGTCCATGCGTATCCTTAAAAAGTCTTAAATTAAGATTTATGAAATTTAAGGCCATAAAAAAGCCATAAATATCTTAAAATGGAATAAGAAAGTCTTCTCAAGAGGTCATAAATAAGCAGACAGAAATTCAGAAATCGTGATGTAGCAAACTGTGATTTAATTAATCGTGAGCGCCGCATGTTTCAAAGTAAAAGTCTTTATTCTGAGGCCCAATTGGAACCCAAACCCTTGCGAACTTCCTCAGCGCCCAAACTTTCGCGACCGCTTTAACTGTCGGGTAGGTCTGCTGAGGAGCTCGTAGGCTCTCCAAAGTGTGCATCAAGTGAGCATATCGGCCGGAAAAGGGCCACTCCTGAGCACCCTTCTGAAACCTGAAATGGGGGACAAATGGGACAGCCTTCGGTCTTATGGATTTAAATGGACACACGGCACCCATTAAAGTCCACAAGACCGTAAGTGCACATGAAGTGTGCCATTTGGGACAGGCCAGGGACTAATAAGCTCAGTATAGGTTGTAAACATGGGTTACCGGAGTAACCACTATATTTCCAATTTCATAAGCACCACCTACTGGTGGTCAGAGAGATAACTTATTTTCATTTAGCCCATCGCCTGTTTTTGACAAATGCAAAAACTGACTTATTCTTACGCAGCACAGCATATACGCCATACCTGTCAACACTCCCGTTTTTCCCGGGTTTCTCCCGTTTTTTAGCTTTATCTCCTGGACCCCTCCCGGTTTGTTATTAAACTCCCGTAATTTGCATGGCCCAAACTCGTTTATGAATAATCGGACCAATATGTTGGTCTAATGTTGACCAGTTCCCAGATCTTGTATTAAATGCATTATATTCACACAATCCACACACCATACACAATTTCAACCCGTTTGTCATCTCAACCTGGCAACCTATAGCCCAGTTGCGCAGTCGCAGAAAGCTCAATCCGAAAGCTCAGAATTTAAACTAAAAAATGTTGGTGAAAAAAATATTTTAATAACATGGTTTTGGCGGTTTTAGAGTTCTAATGACGGTACCGTCACACCTCTAGTTCGACGGCGGCATCCATCTTTGTAAATGTACAAAATCTGCTTCACCGTAGCTGTGCTGTCGTCATCGCGTAAAGCCCGCCCCAAAGTTTCTGATAATTGGTGCTGCGATTTCGACAGATGAGCTTGAATGAGCTCTTTGCCAGACTAATTTACAGAGCAAATCTAAATTTGCCGGAAGTTGTCTCGGTTTTCCCAGGCTAATGTATAGAGAGCCTAAGTCCCGCCCCTTCGCTTCCGGCTGGTAGTCAATGGCGAGAGACAACTTATCTTTTTATTCCATCTGAACTGTGCCCTGAATTACACATATGATGTTTGTCAAATTAAAAGATAATTCTGAAAGTCAAAAACGTCACAGTTTGTCAAAAAACAGAAGAGTAACATTTAGTTTTATGTGAAAATCGCTCTATGAAATACATCTCCCGGGAAGCGGAACGAGCGAGATTCGCTGCTCGTGTGTGTGCGGTCTGGTACAAAACAATCAGGCATGACGGCGTAACGTTACGATTATAACGTAAGACTATAGAAACAATGACAGACATTAGCCTCAGTAAAGTTAGCTGCATTCATTGAGAGAAAATGTGCGCCTTTGGGGTTTGTAGTCTTTGTAATTATGTATTTTCAGTCTTATACCTCAACTTTCTTTACTTTAAAATGTATCTTTTAAATTGACAAACATCATATGTGCAATTCAGGGCACAATTCAAACCAGATCAAAATATTTGTTGACTCTCGCCATTGACTACCATACCATACATTTTTCCGAAATAAGGTTCCCATGGTGGTTGACCGGAAGGGGAGGGACTTAGGCTCTCTATAACCATTTATATTTTAAAATCATTTACATATAAATCACAGATAATTTAGTCTTAAAAATGGTTTAAAGGCTGAAATGTGAGCTATAATCACAAAATTATTTTTAAAACCTGCATTATTTGAACTTGTTTAAATCACCATTTACAGTCATTTTACAGTCAACAGACAGTTCCACTTTTTTATTTGTGCAGGTCTTAAAAGCCTTCATTTTGATTTAAAAACCCTAAAATAGTTACTCTTTTACTCTTTTTACGTTACTCTTTTTAAAAAAATATGTTCATGACATTTCTAAAACACAATTGGCAGAACATATTCTGGAATGACAATAATAAAGGACAATTCCTTCACACATATGAACAACTAACCCTTACTGAACGTGTCCGATGTCCATAGTGTTTAATTAATCAGTGCTAAACTCACTGAAGCGAATGAATATTTAATAATGAGCACAATAAACCACTGACCGCGGTGTCTCAAGACTCATTATACCACCATACATCACTGGAAACACATGCAGTTAATGAAAACTTCCTCTCATCTTGATGCTCATTTGAAACACGAGTAAAATCACATACTATGAACACAACATCACATAAAAGAAACAAACCAAGCAGGAGAAAACTGGACAGATCAAAACACAAAAGACAAAACAACAACCGAAAACCCCCCAAAAAATAAACAAAACAAAAATACAAATCACAGAAAACAAAGATACCAGTGCTCTATTTCCTGTTCACTTATTTATAATTGGGTCAAGGGCATGATGCTTGTTATGTGTATCTGGATCTATTAATTCATGCACATCTATAATATGTGTATTTTTCTTTTTCTGAGAACCGATAGATTGAATAAACCTCTTCCATGATAAACATTTTCAAAAGTTAAATAAAAATAACTTAAGTTGTCCATAAGACCATTTCACAAGATGTAAACAACACTGGTCCAGAAACACTTCCTGTTTCAGTTTGTAACGGTTTTCTTTATTTCACATGTAAAGAAAACATCTTAAAGATGTTTGTTTAACTTTTTGATTCAGTTTTAAATGTTCTGTTGGTTGTATTTTATGCCGGCTTTTATGTAGTGTTAAAAAACTGAAACAGGAAGTGCTTCTGGACCAGTGTTGTTTACACCTTGCAAAATGGTCTATATAACGAATTGAAAATCATATGAAAAATAGGGGTTAGCTTGAAAATATTGCTACATATATTTAATATTTGCACATCCATTTTAAGCTATACGTTTTCTTCCTGTTTTCATCATCTCAGATATCCTTATTTGACAAAGACCAATTGTCATTACCCCTCCCAAAAATTAGTGTAACAAGAAAAAGAGCAAAAGGTCTTAGAATATTGAAAAAGAATACAGAAAAACAGAAAACATTGCAGTGCTTCTATTTCAGACCATTCCATACTTGGTTATTCAAAACAGAACTCTCGAAATCATTCCACATCACTTATAAAATCATTCCCAAATCCCTCTACCTCTCTCCAATTTCCTGTCAGCCGTCTGGAACTCTGAGGATGGAGAGTGATGTCATCAAAACAACAGGATATAGAAATCACCTTTTCCACCCCCCACCCCCTCTTGTCTGCGGTGACCCGGTCTACAAACCATTTTTCCACAATATTTCAGACAGAGCAGTAATGGGGCCCTATCATACACCCTGCGCAATGCAGCGCCAGTAAGTGCTCTTTGCTAGTTTCAGCCCGACGCAATCATCATTTCTGCGTCCTTCGTAACGTTGTTAAAATGGCAAAAAACGAGGTGTGTCTGGTCTGAAAACGAGGTGTGTTCAGGCTAGAGCCAGACAGATATATCGGCAGGCCGATATTATCGGCCGATATTAGACATTTTCTAAAATATCGGTATCGGCAGTTATAATGGCCGATAAATGAATATTTCCAAAATAAAAATAAAAACGGACGAATCACGCTTCAACCATGTAATGAGTGTTGGAGTTGTATAGTTTGTCCACCAGAGGGCACTCTACACTAGGGCTGCACGATTAATCGAAAAAAAAAATCACGATCTCGATTCAAACATAAATGCGATCTCATTTCTTAATGATGGCGATTCACTTCCGTGTATTTCCCTGCATTCAGATCATGCTGCATTCACGCGTTATATTGGTCACACTCACACAAAAACAAAACAATAATTCACAAATCAATTATGCGGACGTTTCATCAGGGAATGTCTAAATTAAAGTGTTGCACGTGAGCAGCGCATATTTTTTTTGGGCTTGCATGTTAATCAAAGTATTCACCGGGAGCAGGGGCAGCGCGTGAACAGCAGTGAAACGCACGCTCAATTAAAGTGAAAGCACACTTTTGAGGGACAAAATTAATATGATTTCACTCAAAAAGTAGTTTCACACAATGTCTAGTCAGTTTTAACAAGAACTGAAGTACCTTAAAACTTATATAAAAATAATAGCCGAGTCCCATAGATGCCGGTATCTTTTACACGCCTGTGTGGCTGCAGGTTTGGGTAAATAAAAGCTTGTCTCAAATAGGGCGGGTCTGTTTTTTTAATTTCGGTTTGTTAATCTTCTAAAACCGTCAGATCGTCTGCTTTTTGGAGGCCGCTTAAGCACATATTAGTCCCGCCAAAGCCTAGTTTGATCGGTGAGTGATGATGTAGAATAGAAACTGCTGCGCTTGAAAGGGCGGAGAGAGAGAGAGGTCTTCAAACAACACGAAAGTTTGGAAGACCGCAGTTTCACATAGAGCATTTTGGAGAGTTTTAGATATGAAGACTCAAATATTTATAGAAGATTTAGGCTACCCATTTAAACTTGTTTGTAATTATTCAGTTTGGGTGAAAGTGATGTCTGATTCTTAAAAAAGCTATAAACTAGCCAGAAAATATTAAATATAGCCTACACTTACTTTTAGTTCAGTAATACACAGAGCTACATAGGCAAGCCCCAAAGAACCAGCTTAAACAATTTTGATTTTTTTTTTGTTACTGCACTTTATTAGACTGTCCTGTGTTTTTTTTTTTTGTTTTTTTTTTTTTTTACTTGAGTGCAATACATTTTGGATGGAAAAAAAGAGAATCGTGTAAGAGAATCGAGATCTCAATTCCCATGGAGAAAAATCGTGATTCACATTTTAGCAAGAATCGTGCAGCCCTACTCTACACCCTCCCTGTTGGCAACACTCGTGTATAACGCGCCACATCCTGCAACCTGCTGATCCAGCCAGAGAGAACCAGTTATGCATTATCATAATATTTTAGTTAAAACTCATAATTAACTACAAATAACTAATGTTAGGGAAATCTGTTAATATTTTGTTGCGCATTTCTGAAATAAAAATTAAATACTAATAATATCGGCCGATATATCGGAATATCGGATTTTAAAACCAACAAATATTTGTATCGGTATCGGCCTTCAAAATCCTTTATCGGTCGGGCTCTAGTTCAGGCGCATTGATATTTTGAGGAACTGAAATAGACTGTACCATTGGCCAACTGAAACCGGGTCTAAAGTCAATGGCGCAATATTTTTTTTGTTAGTAATGTGCGCCATTAAAGGTGGGAACACTTTGTCCTTGAGCTTTAACCTCGCGCAAGAGCAGATCCCTTTCCTCTTAGGAGAAGCATTTATTTTTCTGCAGAGTGCAACTGGCTTTTAAAGGGAATGGGAGAAGAGACTCTGATTGGTTTACTGCACGTTGCGCCCAAAAACACACCCACTACCCATTAAGAGAATAGGGACAACACTATTAGACCATGCACCGGGCGCGCAGAACATCTTTCCCGTCGTTAAACTAGCAAAGGTGGATTTTGTGTGCTTTAGATCATGCTTTTAAATTGGTAAAACAGGGCCCAAGAACTCAAGAGGAGCATCTGGCTCACCTGTCCGAAGGTGGCGCTCTCAGTGCTGGTGCTGGGTGGAGTTTCTCTCTCTCTCTCCCGCTCTCTCTTTCTCTCCACCTCAGGAGCCGTCTCTGGCACTCGAACCCGCACAAAGTTGATGACGTGATGGAGGTTAGACAGCAGGCTGGTGCCTGGGAACCAGCTGTCGTGGCAGTGCTCCTCGATACAGGGCTCCTGAAACAGAGTGAGGAAAACACAATAGCCTGGAATACTGGAATTTGTGCTTTTAGCTTCGAGCCTGCTACACGTAATCTAGTCACTGGACTAACCGTGATTGAATTAGTCAAACGCTAATAGAGTAAAGTCTCTTATTTACGAAAAAACAAATTGTTTACCTCCTCCACTTTGTCATCCTGGACCTGATTGTCCAGTCCGAGTTCTATCAGGTACAGCACCATACACAACACATGTTCAGACATGTTCTGATGATCCATCCAGATCTAAACAAACAGAAACAGACAACAATTAATCAGAGATAACACTCATTTAATTCAAGTGAATGACCAGATACAGTGATGTGAATAAGTTTTGACCCCCATGCTAAAGTTGCCTAAAAAGAGGAATAAAAAAATCATCGTTTGGATATTGATCTTAATGCCTTAATTAGAAAAATGAGGAAAACTCCAACCTTTAAGGACACCAATTTTCTTTGTGAATGAATAATGTATCATAAATAAATAAATGTTTTTCCTTAAAGGTGCCACCTGGAACTAAAAATCTAAAAATATTCCATATTCCATAACAGATGGGGGCAGTATACCTCCAGAAAATGTGTTGTGCCGCTGCTGCACGCACTCACGTCTTCAAACAACACAAACGAGCGCTGTTTTGCTCTCTTTCTCCGCATATTATTCAAATCATTTGACACGATAGTAAAAGGTCGGAAGACCGCAGTTTCACGTGGAGCATTTGGAGATTTTTAGAGATCAGAGACTAAATGAACAACATCTCAACACTAAATGATGAAGACCGACTCATAGACGCCTGTCTCAAAAACCAGCTGTTGCATTTCGACGATATGGGAAAATAAAAGCCTGCAGGCTATTATTTTAAGTTTACGGTATTCGTTTTGTTCATATTACACTTTTATTGTTAGTTTGAATTAATTTGACAGACAGCATTCGCTGATGTTGATCAACCTAGCGAAATTCAGAGCTGCCAGCTCTCACGAATTCACCGTGAGACACATGCAATTAACACTTATGCCGAGTTCAGACTGCATGATTTTAGCCACGATTTTGGCTCGCCGACAGGTTTTGAGAAATCGCCGACAAATGCCCGAAATCACAGGCAAATCGGCGCTCGTTCACGCGAGTGACAATCACGCAGTGTGAATGAACAAAGACGCGAACTGAGAGAATCACCGACGAGTCGCCGACGCCCGTGAGATATTTGGCATGCTAAATATCTGGACCTGTCGGCGATTCAAAATCCTGCTGTGTGAAAAGTGTTTTGACTGAAAACTACATCGGCAATAGGGCTGGGCGATATATCGAATATGTACGATGTATCGTTATATTTTTTGAAACGATATGGAATGAGGCAATACCGTTTATATCGATACAGTTTGATATGAGCACATCTGAAAAATAGCGGAGGTTGCAGTGTGAGCTGCTGCAGTGAAAGTAGCTAGGCTACGTAGTACAATTTGTCCTAAACATGACACAAGCTTATATTAATTGCGTCAAAATCACTTTGATATAGTTAACAAGTTTAAGGCAGCTTGCCGCCCTGTCAAATGCTCTGAGAGATACTGTTGCTGACTGACAGATATACTTGCGCTGTTTAATGCGTTTGAGATGTGGCGCTTTCCTCAGTGCTCAACTTACATTTCACATATTCTCCATCTGTAAATGTTAGAAAGTAAAGCAAATATGTCCATTTCACAACAAATATGTCCATGTCAGAAGAGGACGAGTTTCTGCAAGTGAATCTCCGCTAAAATTCATGCTTCCTTGAACGAGCGCCGGCGCGCGCATGCGCGTGAATAGTACTACGTAGTACGCAATAATTCTGACTAAAATAAACATATTGCTAAAATATTTGTTGTTGGAGAAAATAAATGTGCCATATGTGGAATTTTAAACCTACAAGTATATATTTTTAATGAAAGTGAAAGTGATTATAATGGGGTAATCAAATGCAGGCTAATATAATTAGTTTGTGCTTTTGTTTTTGTTTTTATTTTCATTTTTAGTTTAGCTTTTAGTCAATATAAAAACAAAAGCTTTTTGCACATAATATATTGCATAGCCTATATTATATTTGTTTCCATATCCTTCAATATCAACATTGTTTGTAGGATATCATTGGGCCGAATGTGAATATACTGTATATATATATATATATATATATATATATATATATATATATATATTTTTTATATAAAGATTTTCTTTATCTAAATAGAAAACGTAGAAAGTACCGAGATATATATCGTATATCGCCATTTGACCAAAAAATATCGAGATATGATTTTTTGGCCATATCGCCCAGCCCTAATCGGCGATCACCGGCAGCCAGTGAGAGAGCAAGATACAGAGCAGCAGGGAGTTCGGGGAGGAGTTATAGATCACATATCAACATGATATGGCATTGTTTCAACAAAAAAAGCTTCTTCTCTGTCTATTTGGACACAATAAATGGAAGAAAAATTAGTAGAAATTTGGCAGGAGCACTCGTGTCTGTTTCACCAGCTGTACCACAACCGGGTCGAAAAAAAAAGTCTCACGTGAGAACTCCGGTCTTGCACGTGTGGTGTCGCGCGCGTTGCTGGCCAAGATAGTCATGCCGTGTGAAAAGAGCAGCGACCTGACTACTTTGAAAATCGTGCAATCTGAAAGAGCCATTAGCAAGCAGGTTAGTTAAGCTCTCAGATTCTGTCAATTTTATTATGCAATTCAAACAATAAATACCGTTTTGGCGCTTGTACATGTTACACCACAGATCCCTAGCGCACGTGAACCGATCATCTCTACTAGCTAATGGAAAAAGAACCCGAACACTGTTGAAAGATACAGTATGCTACAACTTACCAAAATATATTCCTCATGCATAATGTCAACCAATCATTTTTTGAACTCTTCCCTGAACTGAAATGTAGTAATGGGCTGTATTTCCACACGACTGACATCAGGTTCAAGTACACACACAAGCCGGCGCGAGCGCAACTCACTCGTGTACTGCAGTTTAGCTGGTGGTAATGTTGCCCGGCCGCATACCGCCTCCCATGGCCGGAACTGGTATTACGACACCTGCCGGGCCGGGGCTAGTCATTTAGCATGCTAATTCAGGTTAATATCTCGGCAGCACTATAACTTGTCAGTTTTTTAATTACATCATTGCACTTATTTCTTCTCATTCTTTTGATGCGTGTAGCTCATTTTTTGAATATTTTTACCTCAATTATTACATATGGCACCTTTAAAATACAGGGTGCATAAGTCAGGACACCCCTATGTTAAATTCCCATAGAGTCAGGCAGATTTTTATTTTTAAAAGCCAGTTATTTCATGGATCCAGGATAATATGCATCCTGATAAAGTTCCCTTGGCCTTTGGAATTAAAATATCCCCACATCATCACACACCATTCACCACACCTAGAGATTGGCTTGGGAAACTTTCCATAAGATCATCTTTCAATGCAAATCAAACCAGCTATTAGGCTAACTGAAGTAAAACCATGCCAATCTCTAGGTGTGGTGAATGGTGTGTGATGATGTGGGGATATTTTAATTCCAAAGGCCAAGGGAACTTTATCAGGATGCATATTATCCTGGATCCATGAAATAACTGGCTTTTAAAAATAAAAATCTGCCTGACTCTATGGGAATTTAACATAGGGGGGCAATGACTTCTGCACCCTGTATTTTAAGGAAACACATTTATTTATTTATGATTATGATTCATGATACATTATTCATTCACAAAGAAAATGTGTGTCCTTAAAGGTTGGAGTTTTCCTCATTTTTCTAATTACGGCATTAAGATCAATATCCAAAAGATGATTTTTTATTCCTCTTTTTAGGCAACTTTAGCATGGGTGTCCAAACTTATTCACATCACTGTATCTACATATAAAATTATGCCGAGCGGTGAAATCAGTCATTAACTTAAGCTCAAGCATCTTGTAAAATTAACCACACATATAACTGCCAGTGCTTTTCCTCAGTGATAAGATTCACCTTATAAAGCAGTGTAAAGATGACGATATGCAGAGTTTTGCAGTGCAGCAGGCGCACCAGTCCTCTATAGCAGGGGTGCAGCGGGGTCCTCTCCTTATAGGGCGGCCAGGGGTTCCCTGTATTAACACCTGACTGTTTCAAACTGCAAAAGAAAAAAAAAAATACTTATTAGATATAATACTTATAGATATAACACAAAAGGAGATAGCAGATTGTTATAGATGCTCTTTTCATTTTATGTTAATGAATGGGGAATAGGGCTGGCGATCTCCAAAATGACAAAAAGTACCATCCAGAAATCATACAAGTAGTCCATAACTTGTGTGCTATGGACTTACAACAGTCTTACAATAGCTTGAGTGAGGAACCGATCCAAAATTAAAAGTTATTAATATTCTGAAAATATTTTCAGATTTTAGACAGGACACAAACAACATTTGGCACTGACGTCATAGCCTCTATCTGTCCACCACCACGGTAGCTTTTAAATTGTGCTTTTTTTGACAATGTTACATCTTTTACATTTTGGAGTTAACAGACCAAGTCTACATTGACTTTCCATTCCATAAAAAAGAGTGGCCAGTACATTACCAACATTCATGTTGGAGTTGAAACTCAAGTTCACTTCTTTTTTTTTTTTTTTTAAATGAAAATTATCACATAATCGACTCGCCCTCAAGTCATCCTAGGTGTATGAGTCTTATTTCGGCCAAACACAATCATAGAAATAATTAATAATATCCTGGCTCATCCAAGCTTTATAATTGTCAGTGAATGGTACCTTAGATTTTGAAGCCCAAAAAAGTGCTTCCATCCACCATAAAAGTAGCCCGTACGGCTCCAGTGGGTTAATAAAGACCTTCTGAAGCGAAGCCATGCATTTTAGTAAGAAAAATATCCATATTTATAACTTCATAAACTATAAATCACTGGCTTCCGGCAACATCCGCATGAGAGTCTAGTTCCGGCAGGAGAGTGACCTCTGACCCGACGAATAGAACCCATGACATGCAAACCGCTGTGCTTACAAATATTACATTTAGAGTTAAAGCCACAGCGGACACGAACGCAGCTGATAAAATGCAATGTTTGAGAAATCCTCTCGCTTTACCAGATTTACATCACTGACTGCATTTGTGTCGAAAGGAATATGGGATATAAAACATTTTGTCCTCTTGACAGGTGATCCATCATCCAGTGGCCGGACACAAGAAACTCAAGCAACATATTCTTCAACTTTTTACGAAAAATTTGAAAAATTACTGAAAGAATCTAACTTAAACAAAGAGACCATTATTTTGGGGGATATCAACATAAACTGGGAGGACAAATCATGTAGAAAAAAACTAAAAAAAAATAACTGAAATTTGATCTAGTTCAATTGATCAAAGGACCCACTAGAATTACCTCATCAAGCAGCACCCAGATTGATTTAGCATTTACCAACCGACCTGAGAGAATATTTAAAACATACAATATGTTAGCTGGTCTTTCTGATCACAATTTGATACTTGTGGTAAGGAAGCTGTCAAAAAAGAGATTTGATTATTCTGGCAGAGAGCGTGAGTTTGTTGGAATTCCAAAAAATCACCAGGAAGGATTTAATAGAGCTGTCCAGCAGATTGACTGGGATCAAATATTGTTGGGAGCAAATTGTGAAATGGATTGTGAATCTTTTGTAGCGACAATTAAGAGAACAATTAAAGATTTTAGCTGTAAGGTTAAACATAAACACAATAAAAACATACTTCCCTGGATGAACGCTGACATAGTCAAATTAATGAAAGAGAGGGATCAGGCGTTAAAATATGCAATTAAAACTAAGTCAGTTAGTGCTAAAAAGCTGTTTACAACATTGAGGAATAAAACTATTAAAGCTATACGCAAGGCTAAAGCTAATTTTTTCTTGACTATAATAGAAAATGCAAAAGGGAACTCTAAAACAATTTGGAACCAACTTAAAAAACTTGTAGGACTGGACCCAAAAAGGAAACAACTTTCAGAAATTAAGATAAATGGACACATTACAAATAATATAGAGGAAGTTGCAGATGCCTTCAATAATTATTTTTGTGAATCTGTATCCACTATTGCCCAAAGCTTCCCACCTAACAATCTAAATACTTGTCTGATAAATAATTCACAGCCAATTTTCAATTTAGGGATCGTTACAGAATCTGAAGTCTTACAGACTATAAGAACACTAAAAGCTTCCAGAACTAGAGATATATTTGGCATAGATATGTGCATGCTGAAAGAACTCAGTTCCACATTATTAACACCAGTCACCAAAATGGTCAATCTCTCCATTACTGAGGCAGTATTTCCAAATGTGTGGAAGTTAGCTGCTGTCGTTCCAATTTTCAAAAATGGAGATCTATTATCAGTGGACAATTATAGACCAATTAGCATCACACCCACAGTGTCAAAAGTTGCAGAGAAATTAATTTCCAAACAAATATTAACACATTTGAATACCACTTCATTTTCCCTTCATTCAATGCAATTTGGTTTCAGAACTCAACATTCTACGGAAACTGCTAATTGTTTTTTCATAGAGAATATCAAACATTTACTGGATAAAGGTGGCGTGGTTGGAGCTGTTTTTCTCGATCTAAAAAGAGCATTTGACACTGTAAACCATAAAATTTTATTAACTAAACTAAGCAAATTTAATTTTTCCTCAGATGCAATAAAATGGATAGAATCATATCTATCGAATCGCTCACAGTCAGTTCGGATCAGAGATTACCACTCACCGCCCCTAACCATGTCTACAGGGGTACCTCAAGGTTCTATCTTGGGGCCTCTGTTATTTTCACTATATATAAACGATCTCCCCTCAGTTTGTCCAGATGACTACATTCAGATGTACGCAGACGATACAGTCATTTATATTCATGGCAAAAACATAAAACAAGTTTCGGAAAAACTTACACAGTCTATGGCCCATGTTGCTGAATGGTTAAATCAATCCTGCTTAAAACTTAATGTAAATAAAACAGTATCAATGTACTTTTCAAAGTCAAACATTGCAAATAATCAAGCAGATATTTTTGTGATGGGGGAAAAAATAAAAGTTGTGTCAGAATTCAAATATCTAGGCATTTTAATAGACTCTAAATTAACTTTTAAATCACAGATAAAACAGGTCTGCAATCGAGTCAAATTTAATATTGCTAATTTCCGGTTCATAAGACCACAATTGTCACTTCAGGCAGCCAAAATGTTCATGTACAGTATGGTTCTGTCTCACATTACTTACTGTTTTACAACCTGGTCACAGGCAAATAAAACAACATTAAAATCTTTAGAGTCACTTTACAAACAGACAATTAAAATTCTGGATAAAAAGCCCTCAAGTTATCACCATTGTGCCATTTTACAGAAGCATAGGCTTTTAGGTTGGGAAAATGTCATCAAGTATTCAAATCTTTGTCTGTTATACAAAATCATCCATGGTCTGTCATCCCCTCCACTCAGTCAGTTTGTAAACATTAGAAACACCACACAGAGAGTAACACGAGGGTCGGCCCGAGGAGACTGTGTTGTTCCTCTGCGAAAAAGTGCATTTAGTCAGAGTGCTTTTTCAGTCACAGCAGCGCAGGAGTGGAACTCTGTCCCTCAGAACATCAGAGAACTCACCACATACTCTCTATTCAAAAAACATCTGAAAAACTGGTTCATAACACATCAGACATGTGAGCATTAATAAGACTAGGTATCGTCACTTAATCCAACGGTACTGCGACCTGTGTCTATGCTGGGTCAGTGTGTAGTATAATTTTTATAAATTGGTATCAATTTTAACAATGTCTATTATAGCAAGTGTGAACACTGTATTTATTAGGACTGAAGAACTATATCTGTTTTACGTTTTTTTTTTTATATTTGTATTGTTCATTGTAATCTTTTATTGTTGTTCATTTTAGGTAGACAATTTTAAGATCTGTCCAGGGACAACAGATGAAAAATAGCCTTTTGGCTAATTCTGGTGCATTTACAGTAATGTCAATTAATGTACATTGTCCCTGTCAAATAACTAACTAAAATAAAATAAAAAATAAAATAAAATTCACAAACTGACACGGCCAATGTCACATCCAGTGGCGTACCGCTGAAAACCACTTACACGTCGTCTTGGATTAAAACGTTCACCGCTTGTTGATCTTGCAGCTACTGCAAAAGTATAATTTGACCATGCCACTGAATTCATAGAGAACAGAAAACACTTTTAAAGTCAGCATGATATCAAAAATGGCTTTTTGGCTGACATCCCTTAGGCCGTGCAGGCTACTGGGGAATGGTAATGCCCACGGTTCATGATGCAGTCAGTTCATGATGGATAAGATCCCAGTTTGGACATTGAAATTCATTGTTAATCACTATTCCAGATCAACATATTCCAGAAGTAAAATTACTCTTGATTACAGTTTCATGTTCATTAAAAATAATTAAAAAAATAAATACATAAAAAAAAAAAATCTAAATGTGAAATGTAAATACAGGATGATAAATATTTTAATATACAGTAAAACTGCTCAGATAAAAAAAAAAAAAAAAAAAAAAAGTCCTACGATCCTGAACATGTTATAAAAAAACCCTATGATTATAATAGCAATAATTTCAATTACTTTTAAAAAAATCAGTTTAAATGAATGACTTCATTGATTCAATGACTCTCTCAAAGATTTCACTAGTTTCATTGATGAATCAGTGTTTTTTGATTCAATGACATACATTAACAGTCTAGTGTCGCCACCTACTGGTGTAACGATGTTATAGATACAATCTTTGAAGCATCAAGTTACTTTCAAAAGGTGATTTACTTTGTTTCACTACTGTAGACAGCAGTGTTTTTATCTAAACTGTTAACTTTTATACCAGTACTACTGTGATAATCTGAATGTTTGTAACAGAAATAATGGTATGTGTTTTTGAAAGAAAAGTTTATGAAGCCGTTTAAAAAAAAAAAAGTGTGCTCAAGGGAAATTTTACATCTTTTTTTATATAACAAACATGCTCAGGAAGTTTCTCCTCTGTGAGGAATCTCTCATAATCCATATGTTGATTTGGGCCCTGTTTACACGAGAACGCTCGCGGGTGAAAAGAAAACGTAAAAATATTTTATCGGATGTGCCTTTCGTTTACACGGCGACAGTGTTTTTGGGGCTTTTAAAAAGTGAAACCACCCTGCAGAGTGGAAATCTTAAAAACGCTCCACCGCTGCGTTCCTGTGTAAACGGTAAAACGCAAAAGTCTGCTTGACAGTGAAAGTTGAATGCAGGCGCGCGGACTTGGTCAGTCCCTCCAGAAAAACGCGATTATGCGATCGCTGAATTCAACGCAGAATCAGCCAAAGTCCGCATATTTATGCGGGGGCCGCATTTTTTCAAATATGCCGCATAAATTGCCGATTTCCGTGCAAAATATTTTATAATCCTCGCATTTTCGTTGCAAAAAAGCCACATATATCTTAGCAGAAAGTTGAAAAATGTTGCGTTTGCTTCACACAAGAGCAGCCATTTCCCCCTGTTTCCATGGGAACGTTATGAAGTGACGCAATTACGCGAGGGGATAGCTCACAGCTGAAGTTACTCCAGAGGCCAGACAGACTCACGTAGGGGATTGACATCTCACAAATCGAACTCGTATAACTGTCTGTAACACGTTCTACCGTCACATCGTTACTTAATAAACAAAATAAGATAAAGGAAGTAGCATCAAACAGAAATTACCCGCACACATGGGGTGTTCGAGGCGCACACAGTTCAACAGGGAGCGCGCAGCTCTTAAAGGGGCCACACCTTATTTACACTCGTTACAGTCTGAAATAAAACAAGATGAGAAATTAAATATTCCCAGCACTTTCTATGATGTAGTATGCTTGTTTATCAAAGGAAGTAAAAAGAAATGACTCTTTACATTAAGGTAGTAGCCTAGTGAGAACAGGGTGTTGGGGGAAATCACTTTTTTTGTCTTTTTCATCAAACCGCAGTTTTTGCAAGTTCATCGCATAAAACTGCATAAATATCCCGCATATTCCATCGCATTTTTAAAGAAAACGGGCCGCGTAATCAAGGATTTTTGCCCGCAACAATCACAAAAAAACACGTTTTTCTGGAAGGACTGCTTGGTGTTGTTGTGTGGCAGTGCATCACATCGCCACCTAGCCGCCTGGAGTGCACACTACAATGAATTTCACACACTTTTGCGTCACCATATGCACGCGGATTTCCCATCCAAAACGCTCGTCTAAACGCAAAATAAAAAGTGATAAAGCAACACCACTTTTGCGTTTTCTCTTCAGAATCGTTTCCGTGTAAACATAGCCTTGATGCACTTCGTGTTTAACGGGAATAAAACCCTGTTTTATTATAGCTTTATGCATTTTACTTAATCAACACTTGAATGTGGGCAAGTTTAAAAAAAAAGCAGCAACATTTTGAACAAACATGTTTGAAAATCGAGTTTCTCCGTGACATGACTCGAATTGGGAAATCCCATTTCAGGTGTACGCCCCTCCACAAACACCTTCCTCAGAGGGACTCATGTTCAGGGTCACTCCATCACACAGCGACCCTCAAACACAAGGTCAACGGCGCACAAAATCGAGCAATTTAAGGCTCCATGTGTGAGGAATTGTTTGGCTTCAGGATGATCAATGGCCATCTCAGTGAGGTTTCACCTCAGACTCTATGTTTGTTTCCCAACATTACTGTATCAAGCAACTATATGCGTCTGATTCCGTTCTTTAGGACTAAGCTATGCCTTATCTAGGAACAGGAAAAGTTTGTGCTGACGAAGATTTCAGAAAGCATACGCGTTGTATAAACGGTGCCGCATTTGCATGCGTTTACAAGACTGTACCTTAACGGAAGGAAAATGAAATGAACCAGCAGATGTTGAGTGTGTAAGTGATAGTGTCTGGAGGATTTCAGAGACTCACAATGCTGTGTATCGATCCATGGCCGACTGCACGTCTCTGCGGTACACGGTGCGTAGAATCACCATTATAGGGTCAAACTCTTTCTCCCAGACTTCCGCTGGAAAACACAAACACAGAAAATGAATGTTGGGTGTGAGTTCTGAAAAAGGAGAATCATTTACAAACAGCCTCCGTCTGCCACCATGTAAACAGAGAAGAGCAATAAACTTAAATGACAATATAATCCAAACGATCATTATATTTCAGAAAAGAGCAGAAAGCCAGAAGAAATTCATTGTTAAAATGCTTCCACTTCTAGAATGAATGAATCGACAAAGAAAAAATCCTGATATATACTGTACTCCTGTTGACCACATGTCATTAGTTAAAGCACAGCACACTAATAAAACTCAATTACAGATTCATTTTAAATATACATAAATATGTAAAGTCATATCCTGCAACAGAAACAAAAGCACATCTATACTAGAGAGCAGATGCTTTTGTCCTAATGCAGAGAAAAGTGCTAAACACTACAATCATGTAGTCACATTGCCATCTGGAGGTTCACAGAGGTACACACACACAGCATCCCAATGCAATGTATTTATGGGGGATATAATATAATATATATATATATATATATAAATATAATTTTTTTATATATTTTTTTACTAGTGGGTGCAGGACACTATAATTCATTTATGTAGTGAGGATATCAAAAAGTAAACTTTGACATAATATACCCAAAAAATCCTTCATACAGTGGCTATTAGTAAAATTTATAAAAATGTGGGACCAAAACTTATTCAGACTGAAATGTTTTACTTTAATTTGCTAATGCGACCTTTTTACAACACAGTGAACAAAATTAAGCGTCGCTTGGTAATTGGTTGACCTAAATTGGTATTATATTTAAATTTAACAGCTGACAGATATTCAACCTAGTTCATTTGTGAGACAGTAACAGAAAGATGTCAAAAACCAGTGAATAAATCAACTGATTTTATAACTGAGTTCTTTTCATATTTCAGACTGATCTCAAGAAATGGTGTATGACACGCCAAATCATATTTCCATTTTTGGCATGCTAGCGACACGCATAATCGCTTTTCAGCGCGTTTATGAACGCAGTTGACTACATCACATTTCTGTATAGACGAATCCGACGAGCGTTCTTGTGTAGGCTGCCATCTTGTGGCGACGCCATTACTGAGCTGTTACACCGGCATAGACATATGCACCGGTATGTAAACAAACCTCGGAGATAAGGTGATAACGCACCCTTGATGACAGCTACAGCCAGGCAGACTTGTTGGGTTGATGATGTTAGACATTGGCCTCCAGTCACAGATGAAGGTACAAACGATCTTACAGATTATTTATGAAAATAGCTTGGCAAGCAAGCTAGGCTAACGTTTGCTACCGAGGAAACTAAAAAAAGATCTGTCCATTTGGCAACAATAAATAAATAAATAAATGAAATCAAATTAACAATTTCATGTTTTTCATTTGTGTCCATTATTTATCTCATTTTTACATTGCAACGGGCATGGGTAAGGTAACGTTACAGCTAGAAAGTATACACAATATCGACCAACTACTGTTTTTAAACCATGGAAAGAGGTCATAACAGCAGGAGAACAATTATGTCACATAACGTTACATTCAGCTCAGGAAAGCCATTTAATGACCATAGCATGTTAATTGAATAGAAAAAATAACAAGAGAGGAGATTTTGCTGATCACTATATCACACATTTATTATATTTTTTTACTTATGTCATTAAATAATTGTTATTATACGCGAATGTCCGCGTCTTGTACTCGCCCAGGAAATCTGTGACCCAGAAAACCGTTCGGCACCAGACAGGGGCAGTCGACCCGGGGTATTCACAATGTTTTCTCTTCAAAATTGAAATTTTACTGCCACCATTGAAACAATTTATAACAGAAACTGTTTACCCACTCGACATTATACAAGGGCTAACGTTGTAACGTTAGTGTCAGTCGTAAATCTCGAGCTGTTTATTCCAGTGGACGCAAGTTGCAACTAAAACAATAGAAGGCAATGGCGCAACGCTACCCAGCAACAGCTCAGTAATGGCGCCCGCTTACTTCCGGTAGTTTCGCCGGATTCGTCTATATATAAATATATGACCTACCCCAACCCCCTCCCTAAACCTACCCATCACTGGGGTTAATAGCATTTATGAGTCTTCCCCTACCATCCTAGGATAAAAAAAATAAATAAATATATCGCTCCCCAGATGTAGATCTACATTTTGCTTCGTTTCGCTCAGACATTTAACGGCGTAGATACACGCGGATAGCTCAATAACTTGACTTGAAAGTGGCGTGTATGTTTACGCAAAAGTCATGATGTCATGTGTTGCATATTTTATTAATAGCGAATGAACTGATAATGTGAGAAAAAATGTTGAAGGTGTCTAAATAATTGTTGGTTTTGACTGTTAATGGCGATATGATAAGTTGTGTCACCTTTTGGCGTGTACATGCCCTGTTGCATTGATCCTCCAGGCTCAAACACCGGGGCTTTAAAATCAGCTACAGCAGAAAGCATCTCCTCAAAACTACAGCTGCCCGGCACCACACCGCTCTTAGGGTTCGGATTCTCCGGGATCTATGACTGCAGTCAAGGACAACCATCAAAACTCAACTAATAGGACCAAAATATTCAAGTTATAAAGTCCACAGAGGTCAATAATGGGATAAGTGCTGGACAAATTTAACATTGAACAAAATGTGTGATTAATATACAGTTGTGAATATTCTGATAATGTTTCCTTTATGCTTTTTTAAATTATAAATAAAAATGATTCTCAAGAACATCACAATTTGTTCTAAAACTAGCAAAAGCAGAGTGCTTGCCGTACTTCCTGTGAGCACAAAGTGTTTTCATGGTGAAAGGATACCAGATCTAGCAGGGAACTGTGCGTACGATCATTCATACACAACTGAGACACCATCTCCGCTCTCAAGATCTCATCATCAGACATTCCTACAGAGAGACACAAAGACAGAATTAATTAATTGAGTTCATATCTCCATCTCTTGTGAATCTCTGGAAACCCACGAGGGAAAAATACACAATCCACATGCATGCAATACCACAGCTTTCAAAATGTGCATGTCCATCACAGAAATGGTCCAAATATAGTTGTTTGCTTGACCATTTTTTTTTTTTTTTTTGAGTGAAAAACAATCAATTATTATTATTATTAGTCAAGGCTGTCGAGCAAATACAATTTTAAATCCAAATAATTGCACAATGTGGCGATTCATTAATCTAATTGAATCACAAACTGAAAAAAAAGATGTGGTTTTGCAATATAAATATATGGAGGTTACATTTTTTGGGAGTGAAATTAAACATAGTCAGGCGACCTCCATTGGACCACTTGAGTTAAAGAACATGGTACTCGTATTTATAACCAAACTGTGTGAATGAAACCATATTCATTACTCTAAAACAGGGTAATTGTATAGAGAGTATACACATGACTTCACAGTAGGCGGGAGTCGCTGTGGTTACACACATAATGCCTGGCTTAGTGCTTTAACAATTATAAATGGGGAATATGACAAAATATAGTGATCATCCAGATTTCCATCTACCTATTGTATTTATAATGTTGACTAGCAGATAAAGCATTCATAGGCTTTGATTTCCCCGGCCATGAAATCATGTACAAATATCAGGAAACCCCGATTCCTAGCCACATGCCAATGTTCATGGACCACTGGTTCTTTGGTAAGATGTAAGGATCACAGTCAAACCCAACTGCATTTCATTTAAGCGGACAAACGTTTGTTTTACAGTTTCCCTATTAAATCCAGTCACATTGCAGGACGTTTTGCCACTCGGTCCGACTGAGTGGGCGTGTCCTGACGGGAAAGTGACGTCAATGCACACCATTACCATCCACACTGAAGCTGTATGAGTGTAGCCGTAGATTCACCAATTAGAAGTAACACATTCCAACTAACGCTAGATCTTGTGTATGTTAGCTATTTAATCGTGTTGAGCTTCAAACTGTCAGTATTATTAAAAAAGAGATGACATGTACCCAGGTGTATTCGGAGACTGCTCAGTATGACCAGGAAGGTGAGCGCTCCCTCCAGCATGGGTCTCTCCTGCTCCGAGTCCAGCACTGCGTTCTGATGTTGAGACGCCATCGTCAGCAAGTCCACCACCTTAAACCTGACAGAAACACAAAGCTTTCAGGAGCCATCTCTAAACAACAGTGGCTGGAAACAATCTGTGTGAATACACAAACGTTGACGTACCTCTCAAACACTGAGGAAATGAAGTAATCTGGATCCAGTCTAGACGCACACACCTGAAGACAAATATATATTACAATAGCCTCAGGAGGAAACATGCAGGGTCTATTAACAAAGTGCTAAATATGAATGGCAATGGGCTAAGACAGCCAGCACATTTAGAAAGAACTGCACAAAATACATGGTTAAAAACGGATTTTAACGACTGCCTGACCCTCACTGAACGATGTATGCGATTCAAATCACACTGTCTTCTAAAGAAAAATGTGTTGTATTTTGAATCTGAATCTGGATGTGCAGACAGACAACTGTTTTGTGTATGTTTTCAAAAGTTGAGTCTGTCTGCAAAACCAAACAAAACAGTAGTGTCTACAAAACCAAACAAAACAGTTGAGTCTGTCTGCAAAACCAAACAAAACAGTTGAGTCTGTCTGCAAAACCAAACAAAACAGTTGAGTCGGTCTGCAAAACCAAACAAAACAGTTGAGTCTGTCTGCAAAACCAAACAAAACAGTTGAGTCTGTCTGCAAAACCAAACAAAACAGTTGAGTCTGTCTGCAAAACCAAACGTCTGTGTCCGTCTGCAAAACCAAACAAAACGGTTGTGTCTGTCTGCAAAACCAAACCAAACAGTTGAGTGTCTGCGAAACCAAACAAAACAGTTGAGTCGGTCTGCAAAACCAAACAAAACAGTTGAGTCTGTCTGCAAAACAAAAAAAAACATTGTGTCTGTCTGCAAAACCAAACGTCTGTGTCCATCTGCAAAACCAAACAAAACGGTTGTGTCTGTCTGCAAAACCAAACAAAACAGTTGAGTCTGTCTGCAAAACGAAACGGCTGTGTCTGTCTGCAAAACCAAACAAAACAGTTGAGTCGGTCTGCAAAACCAAACAAAACAGTTGAGTCTGTCTACAAAACCAAAAAAAAAACATTGTGTCTGTCTGCAAAACCAAACGTCTGTGTCCGTCTGCAAAACCAAACAAAACGGTTGTGTCTGTCTGCAAAACCAAACAAAACAGTTGAGTCTGTCTGCAAAACCAAACAAATCAGTTGACTCGGTCTGCAAAACCAAACAAAACAGTTGAGTCTGTCTGCAAAACCAAACAAAACAGTTGAGTCTGTCTGCAAAACCAAACAAAACAGTTGAGTCTGTCTGCAAAACCAAATAAAACCATTGTGTCTGTCTGCAAAACCAAACGTCTGTGTCCGTCTGCAAAACCAAACAAAACCGTTGTGTCTGTCTGCAAAACCACACAAAACCGTTGTGCGTCTACAAAACCCAACAAAACAGTTGGGTTTTCTGCAAAACCAAACAAAACAGTTGAGTCTGTCTGCAAAACCAAACAAAACAGTTGAGTCTGTCTGCAAAACCAAATAAAACCATTGTGTCTGTCTGCAAAACTAAACGTCTGTGTCCGTCTGCAAAACCAAACAAAACAGTTGTGTCTGTCTGCAAAACCACACAAAACCGTTGTGCGTCTACAAAACCCAACAAAACAGTTGGGTTTTCTGCAAAACCAAACAAAACAGTTGAGTCGGTCTGCAAAACCAAACAAAACAGTTGAGTCGGTCTGCAAAACCAAACAAAACAGTTGAGTCGGTCTGCAAAACCAAACAAAACAGTTGAGTCGGTCTGCAAAACCAAACAAAACAGTTGAGTCGGTCTGCAAAACCAAACAAAACAGTTAAGTGTCAACAAAACCAAACAAAACAGTTGAGTCTGCCTGCAAAACCAAACAAAACAGTTGAGTCCGTCTGCAAAACCAAACAAAACAGTTGAGTATGTCTGCAAAACCAAACAAAACAGTTGAGTCTGTCTGGAAAACCAACAAAACTGTCTAGACAGACTGAACTGTTTTGTTTGGGGTTTGCAGACCGACTCAACTGTTTTGTTTAGACAGACTGAACTGTTTTGTTTGGTTTTCCAGACAGACTCAACTGTTTTGTTTGGTTTTGCAGACATACTCAACTGTTTTGTTTGGTTTTGCAGACATACTCAACTGTTTTGTTTGGTTTTGCAGACGGACTCAACTGTTTTGTTTGGTTTTGCAGGCAGACTCAACTGTTTTGTTTAGACAGACTGAACTGTTTTGTTTGGTTTTCCAGACAGACTGAACTGTTTTGTTTGGTTTTGCAGGCAGACTCAACTGTTTTGTTTAGACAGACTGAACTGTTTTGTTTGGTTTTCCAGACAGACTGAACTGTTTTGTTTGGTTTTGCAGGCAGACTCAACTGTTTTGTTTAGACAGACTGAACTGTTTTGTTTGGGGTTTGCAGACCGACTCAACTGTTTTGTTTGGTTTTGCAGGCAGACTCAACTGTTTTGTTTAGACAGACTGAACTGTTTTGTTTGGTTTTCCAGACAGACTGAACTGTTTTGTTTGGTTTTGCAGGCAGACTCAACTGTTTTGTTTAGACAGACTGAACTGTTTTGTTTGGTTTTCCAGACAGACTGAACTGTTTTGTTTGGTTTTGCAGGCAGACTCAACTGTTTTGTTTAGACAGACTGAACTGTTTTGTTTGGTTTTGCAGGCAGACTCAACTGTTTTGTTTAGACAGACTGAACTGTTTTGTTTGGTTTTGCAGACAGACTCAACTGTTTTTTTTGTTTTGTTTTTGTTTCGTAGACGCACAACCGTTGTGTTTTGCAGACAGATTCAACTGTTTTGTTTGGTTTTGCAGACAGACACAACTGTTTTGTTTGGTTTTGCAGACAGACACAACTGTAGACAAACAAAACAGTTCCGTCTTTCTGCAAAACCAAACAAAACAGTTGTGTCGGTCTGCAAAACAAAACGGTTGTCTGCCTGCAAAACAAACCAAAATGACAAAGAATTTTGGACCTTGAATGAACTCATACTTCAAGTCCAGAAGCGTGAGGTAGTGAGCGAGGGGTGTCGGCGTGTGTTACCTGCAGGAGGTAGATGTCCGGGTCAATCATAGAGTTACAGAAGTGAGACTGGACATAGGTCATGGCCTGACCTTTAATCTGCAGCCCATTTCTCACCCACATGTTACTATGGATCTCAGACAGGCTAGCCTGCACAAACACACACAAACACAGATCCACTTTTGGATACCATCTACTTATCACACACTGTAGAATTATCATCATAGCGCCATAACGCTATCACTTGACATTAAGTCACACGCCAGAAGTGAAACACGAGACATCGGTCAAGATTTATGACAAACGGCTGCAACATTACACAACACGCTGTCCTCTGCTTCGGTAGTATTAACACACTAATCGACAAAATGAAGACCAAACAAAAGAACTATATTAGATGGGCATAGCTTATCAAAAAAAAAGACTGTATTGTTATCATAAAAGAAGTACATGTGACTTGTTTGTGTTCAATTAAAAAACATTTGAATACACAGTCACAAGATCCAACGGTTTTGCATGTTATGTTTGAATGTATCCAAGCATAAAAGATTAAGGAACTGTGGTGGTGGGAGGACTTTCAGTGAATAACTTACATTCATCTGTGGAAGAGTGCATAAACTGCTAATACTAGTCTTACAAGTTAGTCATCTATTTTTTTTTTTTTTTCATTAGAACTGGTCATAATTTTACAGTATGACAGTTACATAAAGTAGATTGGCCTAAAAAGTAAAACCAATGGTCAAACTAGTTCCTAAGACAATGTCTCAACATACAGTACAGTATCATATGACTCGAATAATACCGGATGAGTCATATGGGTTATTTTACGTCATACTTTTAGTAGTTTCAGCCCTGATCCAACAGTTTTAGAATATAATATATGAAAGCATAAGAGTTTGTATAATTTGTGACATGAGGATAAATGTAATTTTTGTGAGCCATTACGTCAATCACACACAATCAGGTGTTTCTTCTCAGTTTGTTTGTTCTAATCTTAATATTTTAATAAATCTCCATCATGTATTACCTGTATCTGAAGAGGGTGAACCATGATCTTCATCAGCATCTCCTGATCCGGAAGCAAACTGTCCAAATCCAAACCTTGACACTTTACTCCCTGCAAAACAACAAAAATGGATCCGTTCATAATAATGCACATAAATTAAAGACTTGAAACAGACCTGTTACTAGAACTAAACGGAGTGAAAAAAAATAAATAAATTCAATATTTTGATGTCAAGTGCACTATTATTATTACTAACTGTATACCATATCAGTATAATATTGTATTAAAATACCTCCACATTTTACCACAGTTCTAATTGGGGAAAAGCTGGCCAGGATTTGTGTGACCCCAGTTAATTTACATTTAACATAGAAGTTCTGATACAAGTTCACATTTTTTACTGTTTTTCTCGCTCCACATCCGTGTTACACCGTTTTGTAAATAGTCTTTTTCAGTGAGTCATTCAATTATTCACTCAACCAGTTTGTTCAACAAGACTAATTCATACAGCAACTTAAGGTTAACAGGTTCTGAGTGTGTCGGACTGGGCTCCAAGCTCACCTTGCTGAGGAACATGGCGTAGTATCGATGGAGAGGTAAATGAAAGGTCAGCTGGTTGAGGGAAGGCTGTGACAGAGAGAGAAAGGTTTCTCACCAGTTCCACATTCATGAAAACATTTAATCTCAGAGTTTAAGCATCAAACCGGTACCTCATCTACAAACCCAATGGCATCAAACCACATCTGAAGAGTTTCCAGACAGTACCGCACCACTGTCTTAGTGTACTCCTGGGTCTCCTAACAACACAAAACATGTTCAATTCAAACTTACACCACTAAACCGGGCCAGATCACAGAACACATTTCTGCATTCCACTGATTTTCTATTGTTTTACATGCGGTTGACCAGTGGTTCTCAACAAACTTCCAAGAGGGCATCAAGATGACTTAATACAAGGGCCGTCATTAACAATCATTCTGGTAATCAAGTAATTGGTAGATCATTTTGACGATTAATCGTACATTTTTGTGGTAATAAAAATAGACCTAAGCAAAGCCCTAAGCGTTTAAAATGACTTAAAAGTACATACTACATACGAGGCAATCTTATTTTGTTCAAATAAAGTATAAAAAGCAAGAAATCATATTGTACTCTACAATCATGTACATTTAGTATAAAAAATGCCTACACTTTAAAGCAGATCAAATCCTTGTTTAACATTGGCTTTAATATTTGGCTACGTCTTTTCTATAGAAACCCTAGAGCCAATGCTATTTCTTGAACATGTTGACATCAAAACATGCAAACGCTTGGGTTTAAACTTATTTCGAAACTGTTCGCATATTTAGAAGCATATTGATGTATTCTATTGTGTTGGCGTAGGTTTACAAATGGTTTACCTTACAAATCTGTATCATTTATGGTATTTTGCCGTTTACTTGAACACGTGTAAATTACAATAGAGGATTATTAAAATGTAGTATTCGACTTCAATCAAAGGAATCGTCGTGACAGCCCTACTTAATACGATTTAAAATAAGACAAAACAAGCATTAAATTCAGCTAAAACAAAACAACTAAAAATCAAGATTAGTATTAGGTTATTTTTATAATGAAAATACATCTTTCAAGTTATTCCAAGAAGGGAGGACCTTCAAATATTGTTGTGGCCTTGAAGTCAAAAAGGTTGAGATCCCCTGCGTCAGATAGACATGTTTGACTTCTAAACCAGTGTCTCGCGTCTTTTACAGCATCTCACACATAACACGGCACTCTAAAAATGTGTTTAGGGTCAAATAAGGTTACATTTGGACAAACAAAACCAAGTCTCAAAAAACTCTTCTAGTGCTATATAAACTTAATAAACTTGAAACGTTTAATCCCCTTTCTACTGCCAAAATATCACATTTTTTAAATGTAAAACCTGTTCTGTGTGAATGGCCTTTGAACTCAATTGGCTTTATGCACAGCTGCACTACTTCCTGAACTTCAGCCAGCTCCTTGTTTCCTGTCTGCCATTATTGGACAAATTGATTATTTCAGGTGTGCCTGACCTCAGTAGCCACGGCAACAATAAATCAGACACACCTGAATTAATCAAGTTTGTCCAATAATGGCAGACAGGAAACAAGGAGCTGGCTGAAGTTCAGGAAGTAGTGCAGCTGTGCATACTTGTAAAACTTGTATGACAACATTTATAGAAAAGCAAACCTGCAATAAAAAAAAATGACAAACTAAAATATACCTCCGTATGCAGCAGATAAAAGAGAATATTACAGATAGAAAGGTGCTGGAGTGATGCATGCAGGGATGAATGTAGCTCACTTTGACTTTGCAGTGTGTGAGGAGACCCCACATGGGCTGAGCACAGGCCTCCAGCTCCGCTGCAAACGCTGCATAATATGTCTGAGACTCGAACTCCACGTGCTCATTCAGCTCTCGCTTGTTCAGATTCATTCCTGACAGAGTGAAAGATACCGGGAAGAAATCAGAGGGAGTTTCAGTTGTAACATAACCTCCATCTCACACACAGTTCTGTGACTTTAATCAAAACTAAAATGAACTTTATAAAATAAAAAGTCCTAGATGCTTCTTATTTTGTAGTAAGCATTTATATAAGACATTCAATGTCAAGCTATATAGCAAATATGATCACAATATAGTATTCACTGCACATAAAGATTTTCTTCCTCAGAATTTTTGTATCGTTTTCCAGAAAAAATACCAAAACAAAAATCTAAAAATTTACTTACTTAAATTTTACTATTACATCTTGTTTTCTGAAAAATGTTTGTTTAAAACAAGAAAAAAAAAAATTCTAACCCTATTGGAAGATATTTATTTTTAATTTAAGCATTAACAAAACAAGACTTGTTTACACCAAGTACTATATCTATAGACCATTCCACAAGATGTAAACAACACTGGTCCAGAAGCACTTCCTGTTTCAGTTTTTTAACACTACAAAAACATTTAAAACTGAATAAAAAAGTTAAACAAACATCTTTAAGATGTTTTCTTTACATGTGAAATAAAGAAAACAGTTACAAACTGAAACAGGAAGTCTTGTTTACGTCTTGTGAAATGGTCTATAAAGGTAACTACAGTATAAGGGTAACTTTATTAGCGTCCACACCAGCACACAGTATCTTTCTGTTTATTGTTCAAGTGCGCTACAGTTCTGTCGACTGCCAATTTAAATGCACAAGCTTTTTAAAAGTTTGGTGGATTCTGATTGGCTGTCAATGTTTTTGCCGTTAATCAGCGGGAAAATTCATTCTGAAAGGGATTCCAACTATATCGTTTCTCTATGCCGTTATCGTTACACTTGTGGTGTGGACTCTGCTATTCTTTTAAATTTAGAACTATATATTTATTATCCTTTAAAGCTACAATACCTAAGATTTTATGCCGCTAGAGGGCGCTACATTCAAAACAACAACAACAACGGCTTTGCTTGATGATGCCGTGGAGGAACGCGGAATGATGGGAACTGTTGTTTTCAACTCCACCGTGGATAAATCATAGACATTATAAATCAGTCAGACGGGAATCGAAAATTAGTTGTCATGGATTCGGTAAAGTTCGATTTTTATAACTGTTGCGTTTAATGACATGCTTGTTTTTCATTAAACTGAAATAACCGCAAGAAAAGTAAGGTTTAAAAGTAAATTAGTTATCACAGATGTTAGGGGTGAGCCGGGACGGTTTAAACACTTTTCAGATAAACGTCGTTTTCTAAGATACAGCCAACAGTTCACATTCCGAGAAGTATTCGCGGTGAATATGACCTTACGATTTTTCACATCATATGCATAGACAACAAGACATTCTAACAATAAAACTAATTGTTTTTTTAGGGCTGCAACAACTAATCGATAAAATCGATTATAATCGATTATGAAAATCGTTGTCAACGAATGTCATTATCGATTAGTTGGTCTGATTACGTCACGGGGATTGTTTGCATGGAACATGCGCTTCTTACATGCGCTTCATGAGGCGCACATGCAGTCTCTCTACCTCGCCGCTCTACCCTGTCTCGCGCGCGCAACACGGACGGTTTGGAGCACATTATCTTCTGTCTCGCATGCGCGCTCTTGATTCCGTGAGTTTGAACTAATTTGCGGGCATCAGGAAACCGCTATCAATATGCAGCATACACGAAAATCATTCACCTTTCGGTAAATTCGCCGTTTTGAAACCAAGATAGGTGACCTACGTTAATCGTGTATACTTTATGAAGCCATACTATAGTATAATGTGAGATAGAAATGTATATTTAAGTCATTAAATTCAAGTTAACGTAAGCTTTTCCCTCCACTGCGGCTGTCAGTCATTCTCTATTCGGTGTTCAAACAGCGCGTCGCGTTACAACAGTTAACATGATGATCTCTTTCCAAGATGATTCAATGTTATTATTATAATTGATCCGTAGATAAAGGTCTATGATGGTTTTTCTATCTTGCTTGACTTTTATTGCTGTAACTTAATCACTTTCTACTGAGTGTCTGTTAGATCACAACACTATAGTAGAGTCGGCGCAGTATAATGGGCTATATGCACGCATAAGTTCCGCATTTGACGTAAGGATGCTCGTCCATTTCCGGTTGTGTAGATTAAAGCGGAGGAAAACCGGAGAAAACGGGATTATGGCAGAGTCTTCAATATTTACTGTCCTCCCGTCTTTGAAACGAAACGTACATACGTTTAGATGTAATTTTATATATAGTTATGTTTATTTAATATAATTTTAAAAAGAAGCATAAACACAACGAGGGGTGTCTGTTTTATCTGTTTTTGTGACTAACGTTTCATTAGTATAACCATGGAGTATAAAATTCAATATAAATTCTCGGTATTGCATTGGACTCTATGATCGGCGGAAGTTATCGAGCATCCCTAATGCTTCACCGGAAATACCGCCGTGCATAGAGCCCATTGTTCTTCACGTGCACAGTAGCCTAACTGAAATTTAAAACTGTTAAAAGAAAAGGCTTAATAAACTATTGCATAGATACTGTATAATACATAGTCAATATGTCTTTCTCTTTCCTTGGTACTTTTAACTTTAATGCGGCGGACACTGAAGAGCTGCGCGCCGCCCTGTGACTCCGTGTTGCTTCAAGCGCATCATTCAGCGCTCGCGATGTGCATTTGCACTCTGTGCAGCTCTTTCATGATCATGTCATAATACTTTTGCGCAATGAAAGCTTATTAATAGCCTTTCTTGTTCTGTCCTATCTATTATATTTTGCTTCCTCACTAAACAGCTGTGCTTTACATTTAAAACAGCTGTGCATCTGATTTTTACGATGTTTTTCATGAATGTATAACAACAATACAAAGAGCAACACGTTTTAAGTTAGTGCTACACTTATTGTCTCTTATTTGTTCCCCACTAAGGAATGTTTTTTTCACCAAATGTTTAGATTTTATAAAATTATTGTGCACTTGTGATATTTCTAGGCTAAGTTTTGCTGAGTTATCCACTAATCTAGTTTACAATAGCATTTTTGTCATATGTTATGGTCATATATATATATTTTTATTTGTTGTTTTTCTTTATAATGAAGTTATCTGTATTAAGTAGATTGTTTAACACACAAAAGAGTGTGGTTTTTAGGGTTTTATTTTGTTATAATAAACAAAAAAAATGAAATATAATTTTTTATCCGATTAATCGATTAATCGGAAAAATAATCGTCCGATTAATCGATTATCAAAATAATCGTTAGTTGCAGCCCTAATTGTTTTGTTTACTGACATGAAATTTGAATACAGAAAACGGTGTTACTCACCTGTCAAGTAAAACACATGCAAGATCGGCGTCTCTTTTTTTAGTTAACGTTAAAGTTTTTCACGAAGTTCTCTCCATTTAGGAAATACCACACCGATGTTGAGCCGGTTTTATTTCTCGTCCCAAATTCTTCTTGGGTCGTTTGGTTGACCCGTTTGTTGACGTTTGCTTTTATGAGACTTGTCTTTGTCGACAGAACCAGGTGCAATCGCTAAAGAATAATTGTGCTCCATTCCATAACAAATGCGCGAAACAAGCTGACGTTAGTTGCTTGATAGACGCTAACGCACAACTACAACTACCGCATTTGTCCAGGACTACACGCAGTACGAAACCGAGGTAACGCGGATATGACACGATTTACTGGCGACTCCCAGCTCACACGCCCCGTTTCCTTGGTTAAAATGTCAATTTTCTCACGATTTAAATGTTGTTTGAAACATTTGGAATATTGTCAATTATCATCTTAACTAAATATATAACACTGGCCTTGTGATTTTGGGATATTTTAATGCAAAAAAAATCTTAGGTATTCCACCTTTAATATCTTCGGTCCTTTATCTTCTCAAGTAAATTGAATTAATTCAAGTTTAGATATTTGTACAAAAATAGTGAGAGTTGTTCATAATGAGGCCCTTTAGCTGTAACCATTTTAGTGGTCAAGTAAACACTAATACCTTCTCATTGTGCCATTCATAGAACTAAGGAAAGAACAGCGCCACAGACTTAGAAACAAAAACAGCGCCTATGACCGCAGGATTTCCTGTCAGTCACTGACCTTGGAAGTAGGAAACGAAACTCATCCAGAGCAGCAGCAGAGAACGATCCTCCAGGAAGCGCTTGGCCACACTTTGGTGTGAGAGGATATTAATAAAATCACTAACTAAAGGCCAGTAGGTGTTATTCTTCAGTAGAGCTTCACCACAGTTTACCACCACATGCCGATTAATCTCCTCATCTGTGACATTCAAGAACACAGATTCAGTACATCTACAGCAGAAACAGTAGGAGTGGTGCCAAACATTTCTTTGGTTACCTTGCAGTTCGCTCTTGATAAGGCAGCTCTCCATCATGTAGAGAAGCACAGTGACCATGATGTCCAGTAAATGGCACTCCTCTGTGACGTGTCTCGCCAGCTCCTCGTTACTGAAGAGCTGAACGCTGATGTGAACGATGCGGTTGGACATGGTGTCGGACTCGTGGCTCTTCATGAGGGTCTTCATGATGAAGGCGTAGTGTTGTACGAAGGTTTTAGTGAACGTGATCTGTGGCACAGGAGAAGAAAGTACACATTTTGGTATTCAATCATATTAGAACAATGCATTTTGAGTACTTTAGAGATCATATGCAGTTTGCACCAGCTATAAATAAGTTACAAGTTTTATATTTACGCACTACTAAACATTTGTAAATATTTGATATATGACATGGGAGGAAAAAATGTGTCCCTGCTTTTGCATTCTCTCACCAAAGTATTATACGTTCCTGAGAAATTCTGCGATTATTGCAAAACGTTTGTGTTCCTTTGCAAACACATACAGCACATGTTATTTTTATGAAATTTACATTAATACAAAAGGGCGTTCTGGTTCTCGATTCTGATTGGCTGAGAGCATTTTCCAGCCATTTGATTTTCTACCATTAACACTACAGGACACACTTAACCTATCGTATCACTCCGCTTGCACGTTTTCTCTCACAGCGAGTGTCATGGTGGATGAGCAAACAACATCATTTTACAAATACTAGTGTTGTGTCACAGAATGTAGTTTGAGAGTTTTTTTAGGCGAGAATGTCGTTATTTAAACCTCAAATATGACTAACATGTAAACATAGCACCTATTTGACAATTTGTTGAGACATTTTCGGAGATGTGAGCTCTAGACTGTTGGCCGTTCAGCGCTCATGTACCCATCTTGAACAGTTCTATATAGTGTTTAAACATGAGGTATAGTTCATTTTGGGTACATCAAACAGGCTATCTTTAATTTTATTAATCTACTTGTTCCAGAGCAAATCAATTTGGCTAAGGGGAAAGTTAAGTTTCATAACTTCATATTTTTAACTGAAATCCTGTACTATAACTAGAAATACTGAATACTATAATCTTGGATGGCATTTGGGTGAGTGAATTATCATGAAATTTTCATTTTGAGATGAACTAATCCTTTAAGAACCTACAAACAGTTGGTTGGTGCAATACTACCAAATACCATACACTCACCTAAAGGATTATTAGGAACATCATACCCCTTTCGCCTTCAGAACTGCCTTAATTCTACGTGGCATTGATTCAACAAGGTGCTGAAAGCATTCTTTAGAAATGTTGGCCCATATTGATAGGATCGCATCTTGCAGTTGATGGAGATTTGTGGGATGCACATCCAGGGCACGAATCTCTCGTTCCACCACATCCCAAAGATGCTCTATTGGGTTGAGATCTGGTGACTGTGGGGGCCATTTTAGCACAGTCAACTCATTGTCATGTTCAAGAAACCAATTTGAAATGATTCAAGCTTTGTGACATGGAGCATTATCCTGCTGGAAGTAGCCAACAGAGGATGGGGACATGGTGGCCATAAAGGGATGGACATGGTCAGAAACAATGCTCAGGTAGGCCGTGGCATTTAAACAATGCTCAATTGGCACTGAGGGGACTAAAAAGTACCAAGAAAACATCCTCCACACCATTACACCACCACCACCAGCCTGCACAGTGCTAACAAGGCATGATGGATCCATGTTCTCATTCTGTTTACGCCAAATTCTGACTCTACCATCTGAATGTCTCGACAGAAATCGAGACTCATCAGACCAGGCAACATTTTTCCAGTCTTCAACTGTCCAATATTGGTGAGCTCTTGCAAATTGTCGCCTCTTTTTTCTATTTGTAGTGGAGATGAGTGGTACCCGGTGGGGTCTTCTGCTGTTGTAGCCCATCCGCCTCAAGGTTGTGCGTGTTGTGGCTTCACAAATGCTTTGCTGCATACCTCGGTTGTAACGAGTGGTTATTTCAGTCAAAGTTGCTCTTCTATCAGTTTGAATCAGTCGGCCCATTCTCCTCTGACCTCTAGCATCAACAAGGCATTTTCGCCCACAGGACTGCCGCATACTGGATGTTTTTCCCTTTTCACACCATTCTTTGTAAACCCTAGAAATGGTTGTGTGTGAAAATCCCAATAACTGAGTAGATTGTGAAATACTCAGACCGGCGCGTCTGGCACCAACAACCATGCCACGCTCAAAATTGCTTAAATCACCTTGCTTTCCCATTCTGACATTCAGTTTGGAGTTCAGGAGATTGTCTTGACCAGGACCACACCCCTAAATGCATTGAAGCAACTGCCATGTGATTGGTTGATTAGATAATTGCAATAATGAGAAATTGAACAGGTGTTCCTAATAATCCTTTAGGTGAGTGTACAAGGTCCAATATTAAAATTCAAATGATTAAGCAGATCGATCGAAACCAAAATCCGAAATGCCAAGACAACAGTTCACTGAAGCCTTGCCTTCCTTCTCCGTGTATGCCTTTTGGGATTAGCATTATGCTAATTAAAATTGTGACGCAGGCATTTGCAGAAACAATATCTGGACTTCAATCGATGTTTCTGGTTCAGTCTGGATCAGTGTTCTCTATTAGATATACAGTAATGAATCCCTTTTGTGGGAGACCTTGCAGACTTTATACATCACAAACAGACATTAAACCACAAACCAGTAAAAAGCATCATATGGCCTCTTTAAACAAACCACAGGTTAATTTTGCATCTGCAATAAGTAATAAGTTTAAGAGCATTGAATACCTTGTAATCCTGATCTGGCAACATGTTGAGCAAAAATGTGACCATCTTCTGAGGAAATTCATACTTAATAGTCCAAAACAATAACTCTTCTAAAAAGCATTTATGTTTCAGAGTGTCCATTATGGATGGATCTAACAAAACAGGAAAAGAGAAAGGACATGCAATTATTGTTATTGCTCCTAAATTGTTTGAAGAATAAATGCCAACACGATTTAAGTATGTAATGGGATTTACCTTTGGTACTGCTACTAAGCTTCACTCTTTTCCTCTGTCCCACACCCTGCAGCCCGTCCTGATCCTCCTGCCAAACAAATACATCAAACACCCTTCATTCGACACACTATACTCAACAACAAGCCCAGCTAAGACAATTCCCTTTGTCAATAAGTTCACGCTGCGGTCAAAATAAAGTGTTCTCAACACTAACACAATGGGCAGACACACCCTCCAAGTGTTTGTTCTGACTGGCTGCTGGGCCACATTTCATCTATCCCAGAAGTCTGTGTGCCTACCTCTTTGCTTGAGTCCTCCAGACTGGCAGCAGCAGTAGCTCCTAATATAAAAAAAAAGTAGTTGCCACAAACATGTAGCAAAATATTAAAACCATGTAACCATACCATCCAAGAGTCATCAATACGCAATTCTAGAGTTGTCAAAAAGTACAGATCGGTAACAAGTCGGAACTGAAATTTTAGAAATGTGACGCTTTGAGAGGAATCGTAAACACCTCTCATATCACTGTATAATGGTCATTGTTACGCGATCATTGGATGTGTCTGATTGGCTACAATGATCAACGCTTCAAAAACATGTTGTAAATAGACCAATGACACTCTTCGCCGAGCGCTTGTGTAACGGAGGCCAGCTAGTAGTTGCTGTGCGAGTTGCTAGAGCGTCCGACTCTCACGCCGGAGACCCGGGTTCGAGGCCCGCTCGGATCGGGGCGAGTAGGACCCGGGTGTGAGGGGTTACATTGGTGCCGTGACCCGGATGAGAGTGAGGTTTAGGGGGGTGAGTGTAACGGAGGCCAGCTAGTAGTTGCTGTGCGAGTAAACCTCACTCCCCGATCTCAATGGGCGCTCTAGCGACAGACGCTAGAGGCTGCAGTCTTTAGCCTCCTTGCTAGAGCGTCCGACTCTCACGCCGGAGACCCGGGTTCGAGGCCCGCTCGGAGCGGGGCGAGTAGGACCCGGTGTGTGAGGGGTTACACTTGCACAGATACACACGGGAGTGTTCGAAAGCAAACATCTATAGAGAGCCTAAGTCCCTCCCCTTCCGGTCGACCACCATGGGACCTTATTTCGGAAAAATATTGAATGGTAGTCAATGGCGAGACACAACAAATATTTTGATCTCGTTTGAATTGCACATATGATGTTTGTCAATTTAAAAGATACAGTTTAAAGTAAAGAAAGTCGCAGTTTGATGTAAAACCGTTGAGGTATAAGAGTGTGAAAATACGTAATTACAAAGACTACAAACCCCAAATGCGCACATTTTCTCTCAATGAATGAAGCTAACTTTACTGAGGCTAATGTCTGTCATTGTTTCTATAGTCTTACGTTATAATCGTAACGTTACGCCGTCATGCCTGAGTGTTTTGTACCAGACTGCACACACACGAGCAGCGGATCTCACTCGTTGTTTCGCTTCCCGGGAGATGTAGTTCATTGAGCGATTTTCCCATAAAACTAAATGTTACTCTTCTGTTTTATGACAAACTGTGACGTTTTTGACTTTCAGAATTATCTTTTAAATTGACAAACATCATGTGTGTAATTGAGGGCACAGTTCAGACGGAATAAAAAGATAAAGTTGTCTCTCGCCATTGACTACCATTCATATTTTTTCCGAAATAAGGTCCAATGAGCCGGAAGCGGAGGGGCGGGACTTAAGCTCTCTATTAGCGGACCAGTCCTTTCAAACACTTCAGTGTGCCCTCAAACCATCCCATGCATTAATCATTGTAGCCAATCACAGACCTCGATGAGTGTGTGAAAACAATGGCCAATCAGAGGCGTTTATGATTCCGCTCAAAAGCTCTCAAAGCGTCACAATTTAAACATTTCAGAATTTAAAATGTCACATTTGAAAGTCTGTACTTTGACAACTCTAAGCTATTCAACAAAGCAAATAGGATGAAAACACATCTCTACAGTCAGTTAAAGCACAGAAATGACAACAGTGTTACCCAGCAGGCTGAGCGCTCCTGCTCCCGCTGAAGTGTCTGTTGCTGTCCCAGCGCCAGCTCCTCCTGCTCCTTTCTCCTCCACTGACACCAGACCCGAACTCTTCAGTGCTGACAAATACTTCTCATAGTTCCTCTTTGCAAAAACATTCTCCTCTTGACCTGTGGGTGTGGAGCGATTTAGATGTCCCAAATCAATTTTAAATGGGTCATATCAAGTGTGAAAAAGAGCAAAAAAAAGTCCAAAAAGCTATGTAAGCTATTAGCTACAACTACAGCTTGATTTATGAAATAAATAAATACCAAACGAATAAATATAAAATATATATAACAAGGAAGTTGTAATAGGATACAATTTTGAAAAATGGGTTTTCAAAGTGATGTTTCCCCAAAAAACTTTCAGCAAACAGTTCTTGTAGAATGGAAATGTTAAAGGCTCTTTATGGAACCATAAGCCGCGTTCCACCGTCTGGCTGAACGTTTCCTGCTATGTTTCATTTCCCCTTGAGCTGGGTGAAGCGTGGCGCGATTATGACCCGTTTTCAACCCGGAATTGGATAACAGTGTTGGTAGAATGCGTTTAGTGATGTCGCCACTCAGGATTGGTCACTTGTTGCCTATCTGGCATTTTCTTTGTAGCTAGTGTGCAATTTGAATGAAGTTAACGCAAGTTAGTAATAAAATTAAAAGAAAATGGCATCATGCTCCATATCATGATCGCAATTTACATCTCATACTGTTTGTAAACTCTTCTCGGATTACCAATACAACGACTAATGCATTCAAATTACAGTCCAAAGAGCTCCTTATCAGTCCCACAGTGGAAAATGAAACCATATCCGTACCGACTGGGCCATATCACGGTTAGGAAATGAGAACGGTTTGGTTGGACGGTAGAAAAGTGACTGGATGCAAATAACAACCCTTCATTTTTAAAGTCATGATGAGAGAGCTTTTCTTCCTTATTGTGATGTACAGCCAAGTGTAAACAGAAAACAAAATGTTGGGAAGTGACTCGGTACTATGCATTGGTTGATCACTGGATGTCGAGATGGCATTGCACTTAAAAGCAAATGAATGGGAGCTTGCAGGAGCGAGTTTACACACTAAGATCTATAACATGCATTTGATTTCATATTCCATGTTGACTTCAAAGGTGAGGTGAAGACACTATTATCCTAACAGCAGAAAAGAAAGATCCTACTCCAGTTTTTAACTGTACGAGTTAATTAAAGGACAACTCCTGCGCAAAATGAACCTTTGGTCTAATTACACATTGGTACCTAGTCGACCATTCTCTGAGATTTGTTTTCATGATAATCGAATGTAAAGAGTTTTATCTCTAAAAACTGTTTAGCGGATACGCTAGTATATAGGGCACAGAGTAATGAAAAATTGTAAATACCACTAACACGGCTCAAAATAGCCCCACATTAACACGATAACATAATGAGGGTCCCTGCATGCAAAACGAAGCATTGAGAGCTTTGTAGGTGTACAGAGCGTTTAATAAGAAGATACTTTATAAAGACAGTTCACTTCGCGTATACGGTCTCGACCAGTCGAACCACGAACACCATTCATACAGTTCAGAAGTTTGCTGAACATCACTAGCACGGCGTTCGTGGTTCTGTTTTCCAAAGATGGCTCCTGCCTGTATACATGAAGTGCACTGTCTTTATAAAGTATCTTCTTCTTAAACGGTCTGTACACTTACAAAGTTCTCAATGCTTCGGTTTACATGTAGGGACCCTCATTATGTTACTGTGTTAGTGTGGGACTATTTTGAATTAGCGATTTTTATTTTTCATTACTCTGTGACCTATATAGCGTTATAAACCGTTTTTAGAGATAAAACTCTGCATTAGATTATCATGAAAACAAATCTCAGAGAACGGTCAACTAGGTACCAATGTGTAATTAGACCAAAAGTTCACTCTGCGCCAGAGTTGTCCTTTAAGGGAAAGAATATTGCGGTGTTTATGGCTTCTTGTGTTAAAAACAAGTTTATTTCCCTGATAAGTTTAAGATCCCTGATCATTTGAAGTGGCACATTATTGAAGGATGGGCAGTTAAAAAGTATATTTTGATAGGACAGAAAACCCACAACCTGCAAGTTAGTTATCTCACATTCAAAGAGGACACCCAATCATACCAAAGGTAATTTGCATATACATAGGTCTTAAAGTCACAGCAGCAAAAACTGCATTTTTAATTCTAGGGTCAGAGAGAGAGTGGAAAATGGTCAAGTAAATAAACAAGGAGAACAGCTTGGAGAAAAAAAAAATGGGTAACACTTTATTTTGATGGTCCCTTTTGAACATCCTGTTCACTATAAGTAACTTTGCAACTACATGTCAACTTACTCTCATTATAATATTAGTAGACTGTCTGCTTAATATCTGCCAACTCTTAATTGTGATGCTCCTCCAACAGACTTTCAACTGACTATCAGTAACTTTGCAACTACATGTCAACTTATTCTATCCTTAACCCTACCAGTCTACTAATACTCTACTAACACTCTAGTGAGAGTTAGTAGAGATGCAGGTGGAACGCTACTTACAGTCATCTGAATGTGTTAAAGGGACCATCCAAATAAAGTGAAACCAAAAAACATTATATGAAGACCTCAGGGGAAAATTATACAACACAATAAAAAAAAGAAAGTAAAAACCAATGACTGGAAACAGAACTTTGTTGATCGATGCATTTAAAACCAACTTCAACAATACATTCACATCTCATACTCACCCATGCTCAGTTCTTTAAACGTCTGCTGATTGGTTAAGATCTTGGTGAGAACGGTGCGCATGGCCCCGCCCATCTTGGTGAGCTCTTCTAAGAACGATATGTGCGGCTCCAACTGCTGCAGAACCTTCTGCAGATCTCGGTCAGTGGCCGACTCTGCAGGCACATGATAAGGTGTTTGTGTGCGCGGCGAAATAAAGCAGCATATGTTAGCCCAGTGGGCACGATTAGCAGGCTCAGCCAGTACAGGACACACACATGGGACTGATATTGTGCAAAGCTGTTGACTAAAGCATTATTCTATTATTGCAGATTATCATATTTGTTTTTGGTATATGCTTCACAATATGTCTAGTCAGTTCAAGAGCTGAGTGTACTGAAACAGCTCCAAACTAAACACTGAAAGTTTGAGTTTTGTGGATTTTATTTCATAGCTTTGTGGCCATGTAGTGCATTCCTATCAATTAAGCGAATAGCCTTTAGCTCACAAACCTTGAGTGTTTGTGAAGCCATTTTATGGGGTCTTTAAATAATTAAAGGGTTAGTTCACCCAAAAATGAAAATTCTGTCAGTATTTACTCACCCTCATGTTGTTCCAACCCTGTAAGACCTTCGTTCATCTTCGGAACACAAATTAAGATATTTAAGATATTAAGATCGCTCCTGCACACTAGTCCATAGGCTTCTTGAGGGACTGGCTCTTGCTGTCCCTGAAAAGTCATTAAAGACATCGTTAAAATAGTCCAAGTGACTACAGGGGCTCAATCTTAAGTTTATCAAACGACGAGAACACTTTTGTGCGCAAAAAAACAACAAAAATAACGACTTTATTTCAACTATTCGTTTATTTCTCCCTCTGCGCGAGTCAGATTACTAGTTTAATAGCGTAAGCTTCTGTTATTGTACGTCACACGCATCACACACACATGACCAGCGTCGGCCAATAGTGAGCCTACGTGTGACGTAGCTTTACGCAATCACACTACGTTAACTGACTACAGGCTCATGGAGAAGGAAGTGAATAGTTGAAATAAAGTCGTTATTTTTGTTGTTTTTTTGCGCACAAAAGTGTTCTCGTCGTTTGATAAACTTAGGATTGAGCCCCTGTAGTCACTTGGACTATTTTAACGATGTCTTTAATGACTTTTCGGAGACAGCAAGAGCCAGTCCCTCAAGAAGCCTACGGACTGTATGCAGGAGCGATCTTAATATCTTAAATATCTTAATTTGTGTTCCGAAGATGAACGAAGGTCTTACGGGGTTGGAACAACATGAGGGTGAGTAAATACTGACAGAATTTTCATTTTTTGGTGAACTAACCCTTTAAGAGCAGCATGGAGGTGCGACGTCCTCACCTGGTTCAGTGTAGCCGTCTCTCAGGTACTGAATGATAGTGATGATAAACCGCGGCAGCACCATCTCAGACATGAGCAGCAGATCCCAAGGGACTGATGGCACATTCTCTCCCGTTTTTAACCGATGCCTACTACAAAACCTGTCGCACAAGAGCGTGTGAATTAGAATTGAACATTTCAGCAGAGAAATTTGCTGTTTACTATACAAAACACAACCTGTGTTCATTGAAGTCAATAAAAATTGACGTTAAGACTTGTTTTTTTTTTTTGTAAAAGGTCAACAGATTGATGCACTACAAGCAACTACAATATGCAAGTCTTCAAGTCAATCACTAACATCATGGTGGTGCCGAAGGATAAAAGACGGACGTGCTGGAACACAAGTTATATCACCATAGAACAGTGACCACCAACTTTATCAGTAGTCTTGTACATGTAGTATGTTTTCAATTAATTTCCTCTTTAAATATATATATATATATATATATATATATATAAACAGGAGTACAAAGCCATAAAAAAAAAACAATAAGGGCAGAGGTAAATCACATCACTAAGAATCGGTGGGGGACATTATTTTAATTGAGAATGAACAACAAAAATATTTAATGCAAACTTTAAGTTACTTTAAAATTCTTAAATCTATTTCAAAACGTTACTTCAGTATAGAAGACTTGATGCTTCATGGGGCTCAATGGTAGCAGTGATTATCTTTTCTGTGGAAACAGTGACTCTGATTGGTGGATTTCTGTTCAGAATTGTGGGAAGTGTATTTCTCCAAACAAAAACACAAAAATGGCTATTAAGGTCACATGGAAATGGAAAAATAACAGTTCTTTGATTGTTTTCTTTATATTTTGAAATGCATCCGAAAGCAACAATGAATCGAAAAAGAAAAATCTAAATGAAGACCAAAAACATATTGTAAATAATTTAATTTTTAATATTGTAAATTTAGACTAAAAGTTATTTGTAGCGCAACTACCATCCAATAATCACAATAAACTTTGATATGACGCGAAGTCTCAGCTTTTAAATAGTCAATCTTCTCACAGAATTCAAACAATAAATGTTTTGTTGACACACTGTAGCCCTCTCAGATTAAACAGTAGAACATTTTGAACGTTGATTTTTAAATAAACCTGATTCATTCATTATCAAATAAAAGAAAAAAATTAAAGTTTTGGAGTTTTCGTGAAAAAAGAAATAACTAAACCAGGCTTGCCTGCTTGAGACTCCCATACAAAAAAAAAAAAAACCTGCACTGGCATAACTGTAGTGTTGGTTTAAAAGAAGAAAAAAAAAGACTATTGTGATATGGCTTTTTGCAATTATAAAATTGCAAAGGCTGCATTTAAACTAAATAATATGCGCTGCATGTTTCAGAGAGAAGCGCGGCTCACGATGAAACTTGCTATGAGAAGCACTTATCAAAAAGGAGAAGCTTATGGTTTTCCATCAAATAAAAGTTCGATATTTCACTTTTGAAAATGATGAAAACAGGACATAAATATTAGTATTGTAATTTTACAGTTGTACTTATATAAAATACAATTATTTATTGTTCTTAAATACTATTTTTATTTTGCATAAAAATATTAGTTTAGCAATTTTTCTAATTCTGTTTTTATTCAGTATTTTTATTTTTTGTAATAATAATCAATTACCATTATTCTTTTAAAGCCATTCTGATATATAATCACAACATTTTTGCCCAAATTGTACAAACAAGCCTGGCAAATTTGTTTTAATTGCATTTTAATCAGTCATGCAGCATGTACCACGACACTGAATGACTTATTAGCCTTGTCTATCAAGTGTTGTCTCAGCATATGTAATTTCACATATTACTGATAAGATTAAGATAATGAGACTCACATCGTGAACTAAACTTGGCAGTGAACGGGACTAAAAAGGCCATGGATTTCTTCTTTAAATAAGAGGTCAGATTAAGACTAAAATAATACTCCAATAATCTGTTTTATTACACTGTGACCTTTCCAAATCAACACATTTTTGGGCCGTATTACATGTATACATTCTTGTCGTTATCTTAATGACACACACTAATGGTTAAAACTAGTAAAAGCACGTTCCATTCAAATGTTGAGTATAGACGACTGATTAAGTTCAGTGGACAGTCACTATGAATCAAAAAAGAGCATGCGAGTAGTGTGATGTCAGCCTCCAGAGCAAAAGCAAAAGTATCTTTTCACAGTAAACATCTACCAATAATAAAACGGCCTCATTCCTGCAGAGCGGAACACTTCACGATAATTACACCCTTTACTGATCAAATACAGTGAATCTTTTGAGCTCCAGCCGACAGCAGTCATTACGCCCAGCCCCATATCTGCACCCCTACACGCTGAACTGTTAAAGTGAGTGAGAGAAGCGAGGAAAGAGCCGTGTCACTGACCCTGTGGGGGAGTTAAAAATAACCCAGACCGTGGCACTCTCTGTAAGGCAGTGATCAGGTGCCACAGCCCAATCCACACTGTTACCCTCCCCTGACAGCCTCAGACTGTATCAAGCAATGCACAGCTGTGCCTAAACCAGGAGAACTGCCTTTACTCAACTTCTGAATGGAACGTACTTTTACTAGTTTTACTAGTTGGTTACCATTAGTGCGCGGCATTAAAATAATGACAAGAATGTGGATGTGTAATACGGCCCAGGAATGTGTTGATTTGGAACGGCCAATAGCGTAACTGTAACAGCAAAAAAATTGTAAATAAAACAGATTATTGGAGTACTATTATACTATTATCTTAGTCTTTCTACTTGAATTTCATGTTTAACTCAATGCGCTACTTGTCATTTCTTTGTGAAATTTGCAAGCAATTTCTGAGAGAAAATTACTTCAAAATAAATATTAGGTTACACTTCATTTCAATAATCCACTTTAGACATTCTATTAACTGTATGTAACTTTGCAACTACCAGTCAATAGAGTATTAGTATTGTCTGAGTAATATCTGTGAACACTTATAGTGATGATGCCCCCCAACTGATATTCTACTGACAAAAAAATAACTTTGCAATTACGTCAACTCGCTATCTCACGACCAATTCGTACGAGTGATTCAAAAGCGGCTAATTCGTTCTAATTCATACGACCTCACTCGTACGAATTCGTACGATTTGTCTAAACCCACGTGACGGTTATGTTTAGGGGCGGGGTCAGCGATAGGTCATTCGTACGAATTCATACGAATTGGCTAATTCGTAAAATATGTACGATTTAGCAAAATCTTGAGTGAGAATTGTTACGAATCAGCCACCTCGTAAAATTCGTACAAATTCCCGTGAGATCGGGTTGGGTCTACTGACGATCTATGAGTTGGTTGCCATATAGTTGGCAAGTTACTCAATAGAATCTCTAAAAAGGACCATCAAAACAAAGCTCAAGAAAAAAATCAGAGTATAATCTGGCAATCCCTGTCACATCTTTGACACCCAAACCGTTAGACGATTTGGAACATGCCCAAGTTGCCCAAAATCGCTGCCGTTTGATGCTCCAAAAAGTTTCTGACAAGGAACACCCCTATTATATGATGCAAGGTTCCCGAAATACTGCCGATTCGTTTCAGAACAGCCACGTACAGGTAATGCTGAGACTCAAAACTGCTGCTAATTTGGGAATTTCCTACAGTGCCCCAAAATAATGCTGAACCAAAACACCGTTATAAATATCACGACGAAAATGATGCAGACTATGATGTTTTGATGCTCAATAACTATGAATAGGTAGGCAGCAGCACACTGGCCAAAAATGCTGCTGATTCAGGATGCACCAATCGGTGGAGGCTATGATGGCCCAAAATGCATCTGAGTGCAGATGTGTCAGTGATACAATGCCATAGGTCAGTATTTCCCAATCCTATTCCTAGAGGCACACCAACAGCGCACATTTTGGATGTCTGGATGATTTTGGGCTGTCCTAGACAAAATATGACCATTCTGTTGTCATGGCTCCTAAATGGCGGTCACCGCGACCAAAGATAATTTTCAGACCGTGTCATAAATTTAGCGTGATCACTCACTGTGTGTTTACTGCTATGATCCACGTCTACTGACTAGCCATGAACTAGCGTATTGATCATGTGTACTTGACCATTTGCTTGATTTACATGCCAATTCTGAAACCGCAGGCATTATCTGACCCATACATATCTGGTCTTGGAGTCTCTACTAACAAGCTGATGAGTTGTATCAGTTGTGTTTGATTAGGAAGAGTTTGAAAATGTGCAATGTTGGTGCCTTAAGGAACAAGGTTGGGAAACACTTTCATATGTAGTCAGGTCACTAGCTTTATATGGCACACAAAAACATATAATATTGCTTCTAATCTTGAACGCACTAATGTCCAATTATGCTATCCATGTAGACGGCTGACTAGATTTGAGACATTGACGTCTAATAATATTTCTGACTCAGGATCTGCCAATATGATTCCCAAAAATGTTGTCTAGGTATAGGTAGCTCAATAGGAATGAAACTTTGATGCCCAAAAATCCTGCTTATTCGGGGTACTCCTATGATGGTGACATGCTGCAGAAACAGAACACACCTATAATGTGATCAACAAGCCGTACGAGGTCTACATTTTTTGCTGATTATGACTATAGAAGACAGTTTACAAGGTTTGAGACGATTTCCACCATCAGGGCGAACGGTTCCAGTTGCATTTCCACTGGATGCCCCAAAATTCTCCAGATTCAGACAGAATTCATTTAATTTGTAAGATGATGTGCAAATCAATTTGGCTGCTGATTTTAGACATGCATGCCACATCATTGATGTACTATTATAGCATTTGTTAATACTTTGCATTCCATTTTCATCATCATTTTAGTCATTTTATGTTTATACATATATATTTGTGTTAGGCCTGGTTTCACAGCCACGGCTTAGATTTGGCCTTAGTTTAATTAGGACATTTAAGTAGCAGCTGGTTTTGATTGCGCCTATAATATGATGCTCCTATAACTCGGGATGCACCTAAATTATGATGCCTGGGTATAGGGCACAGCTCACTAGGTTTAATACTATGATGCCCAAAATCCCTGCTTATTCAGAATACTCCTATGATGGCCAACATGCAGCTGAACCAGCACACCAAATGAACTCCACTGGGGGAAAAACTAATAAAGACCAGTTAGACAACTTGGATGATCAATATCCAAAAATACTGCAAATTTAAAATTCACCTACAATCTCACGTAATTAAAATGACCCCTCAAATGATGCTGCTGATTTGACACACGTATGTTATAATGCCTAATAATAATAGTATACAGATCGCAATGACACTATGATCCCCAAAAACACTGCTGATTTTGGTTGCGCCTATGTTGTTATGACATCCAAATCTGACTCGGGATGCGCCCGTGCTATGACACCCCTATAAAGCTGTCCGTGTGGTCAGACTCAGCTCACTGTCAAGGGTTTGAGACACAGCCCCTGTCAGTCAGTGAGATGTCCGCTCAGAGTGGCTACTGACCCGCTCTCTTTCATCACGTTCCGTCCCCGCAGTCACAGGCCCCGCCGGCCTGACTCCGGAACATGTTAAAATCATGGCCCGTGTGATCGCTGTTATTGAAGCACTCCGCACACAGCGACATGCACGGAGAGATGCCGCAAGTCCGGCAACGGTAGGCCACGAAGTTGGCTGTCCACACCAGCCCGCAGAGGGTGGCGTTATCGTAGGATCGGACGGTCCGGCAGAACTCGTCGAAAGCGTCCCCTCCGGCCAGCAGCCATTTACACCAGTCCAGCCCCTCCGGGTCAGGGTCCGAGCCGCGCTGCGGGTCCAGCACGGTGTCCAGCAGCTCCCGCAGCTGCCGCAGCCCGAGCTGTTGTCGGCCCGCTGGAGGTCTGCCTTCAGGTGGGCGGCGGTGGATCTCTTATCCCGGCGCAGCAGCAAAGCCGCCATCATGCGCTCCGGGTTTGTTGTGCTCACTTTATTTTGGTTGTCTTGTTGCTGTGTTCGCGAGGCATCTCGCGAGATCGTTACTAAGCGGCGCTCTGGTGTGGCAATAAACAGAGTGCTAAAGGGGGCGGAGCTTAATTTACCTCTAAATATTTTTTCTTCTTTTTTTTTTTCTGTGTGTTTTTTTTAATGAAGACAGAACAAGTAACAGGCATAGCATAGCATGATAATTCATGATAATTAAAGGAGGAATTTCGAATATATATTTAGAGACATCGAGAGGGATGAAAAGTGCCAAAAGCAGTATTTGTTTTGTGTAGTTTGAAAAACTTCCTACTCCCCAACTTTTCTCTCTTTTTTTCTCTCTTTCTCTGTGTATTGTGATGTGATGATTGATTGTAAGCTCAGTCTTATTTGTATAACTTATTTTTTTTTATTAATGTCTTTCTGATGATTAAAAATAATAATAAATAAATAAATAAAAACACTTAATGATTTATTTTTATTTATTTATTATTTTTCATTCGTTATTTTTAGCAGTTTCAGTGGATGAGTTAACGTTTGCTGCTATGCGGACCCTGATTGCAGTCAGTCGTGATTAGTGGAATTATTTTAGCGCGATTAGGCTACTGTATCAGATTTTAATTTGAACCACTGTGACTATATTAAATAAAAACATTTAGGCTAAATGTCTCAAATTAAAATATCCTGACATTCGAGTGCCTTTCAAAGGAGGAATCCGTTTGTTGAGCCGACAAGCGCCCTCTAGCGGAATTTAGTATGTCAGCAAATTAATGTTTGGTTTTGGTGTTTCTCGCGAGAATAGCTCAGTTGTGTATTTCGCGTATTTCTCGCGATGCGTTATCGTTTGATTTACAGTGGGCTGGACAGGTGGCAGGGGAGATGTTGCTTATCTGACAGAAGCATCTTGGTTACTGAGACTATTTTGGACGAATATCTTGATATATTATTGCTCAACTTCACAAGTAAACATGTGTTTATGACTCAACAAAAATACGTTGTGTTTCTCTAATAGCCTACATAAGACCTCGTCAGACTGCAGAAACCTTACCAATTTGACAGAGACACACAAACACTGAGAGAAAAAAAAACTTCAGCAATAACTCAAGTAGGCCTAAAATATAAAATAAAATATAGAAAATAAAGATTTTTGTAGCCTATTGAAATGTCACCAGAAGGAGTGATCATGAAAAAAATTTAGCTAATCTTTTGATAACATTTGGCACATTCAGTGCATGGACCCCTATTAATATTTTTTAAAAGAACAATTTTCAAAGAAGCAATTAACTTTCCTTTTACATTAAACTTTTTTTATTAGGTAACTTACTGTATTTTTTAGTATTGACCTCAAAGATAAATAGGCCTACCTAAAAAAAAAAACTTAAATCACTGTCATTTGTGTTTTTTGTTGTTTATTTGTTCCTATTGCTCATAATATGTTAATTTCTTCGTATTTATAACTAACTGTTAACTTAAATAACTGCTTAAGAAGTTTTCTCTGGTATTGAAATGGTAGGCTTTTGCAAAAAAAAAAAAAAAATGTGAAAATGGAAATACAGAAAATTAAGAAGGTTTGCTAAAAATGTTGTGTTCTCATATTAATTTTTTTTAATGTGTTTTTGTAAAATCATAATAGTTTTTTGAACCTTTTGCCCCCATTTGTAATGGTTTCTATTTACTATTTTTCATAGTGTGATTAATGAATTGTATTAAAACCAGTTGGGATAATTTTGGAAACATCATAATAATCGATAATTATAATAGTATAGACCATTTCACAAGATGTAAACAACACTGGTCCAAAAGCACTTCCTGTTTCAGTTTTTTAACACTACATAAAAGCTGGGATAAAATACAACCAACAGAACATTTAAAACTGAATCAAAAAGTTAAACAAACATCTTTAAGATGTTTTCTTTACATGTGAAATAAAGAAAACAGTTACAAACTGAAACAGGAAGTGCTTCTGGACCAGTGTTGTTTACATCTTGTGAAATGGTCTATAAAGAACCCACAAGATGTGGGAGGGAAATTAATTTTTAATTCATAGATGAGTGATATTTGATTGATATTGATAAGTGTCCCCCGCAACAATAGTTGTGGTGTGTTGTATACGGGACTGGTTTTCTGCTTCAGAGATTTTATTTTTGGATTGGACTCAAGGAATATTTTTATTGACACTTCACCAGTTACAACCTCACTACCAACAGGCTTGATATAACAGTGAGTTAGACAACACTTCCTGGTCTTCTCATAAATTGGGCTGTAGGGGCTGGGTATTTTTTTTTTTTTTTTTTTTTTAAACCAAATTAAGGTTGCCCTGTCAAAACAACTGGGGGTTGGATGGGTTGGTTCCCTGATGGCTGTATAAAATTATATGTAAACAGAAGGTTGGTGGGCTTGGGGTTTTAGGGACAGCTGGAAATTGAAACCACACTCATGGTTAAGCCACCCTCGGGACTCTACCCAGGGAAAAAGTTTACAAATACTTGATCTTCAGTGATGTTACATGATTTGACCTGTCCCACTTCACACATTAATATGGGATGGTTTGGTAGGCGCTTTCAAGGTCAAAAGAGTGTAATTTCCAGTGCGGTACGTTCATCTCACCTCCAGAGGTCTCTGTCACAGTACTAAAATGGCCCCCACAGTCACCAGATCTCAACCCAATAGAGCATCTTTGGGATGTGGTGGAACGGGAGCTTCGTGCCCTGGATGTGCATCCCACAAATCTCCATCAACTGAAAGATGCGATCCTATCAATATGGGCCAACATTTCTAAAGAATGCTTTCAGCACCATGTTCTGGTGGCGAAAGGGGGTCAAACACAGTATTAGTATGGTGTTCCTAATAATCCTTTAGGTAAGTGTACATACAGCTACATACAATATTGCAATCCACACAACATAATGGGAGACATATCAGAGTTCAAAAGAGGACAAATTGTTGGTGCATGTTTCCCTGGCTCATCTGGGACCAGGACAGCAAGTGTGTGGTGTGTCGAGAGCGATGGTATCCAGTATAATGTATGCATACCACCACATGACAAACCTCATCCTACAGAAGGAATTGTGGACATAAGAGGAAGCTGTCTGAACGGGATGTTCAGGTACTAACCAGGAATTGTATCCAACAAAAGATAAAACCACAGCTGCCCAACTCACTGCAGAAATAAATGTGCACATTGACTCTCCTGTTTTCATCAAAACTGTTCATCGGGAGTCAATATTCATGGTCCGGCAGCTAAAGCCAAACCTTTGATCACTCAAACTCACTGTCCCATTTTAAAACTAGATTAAAGACGCATCTCTTTAGCCAAGCATTCGTATAATGCTTACCTTTTATACCACTGTTGAAACAGTTCGAATGCATAAATATTATGAAGAGAAGCTGTGCTAATTATCAGTGTTGTAGTCGAGACCACCTCACTCGAGACCGAGACCAGAGAGAGTCGAGTCCGAGTCAAGACCGAGTCCATAGAGAGTCGAGTCCAAGTCGAGTCCAAGACCAGAGACGGTCGAGTCCGAGTCGAGACCGAGACCAGTGAGGGTTGATTACCTAATTTACTTTTATTTACTTAGAGAAATCCTTTTTTTATTTGACTGAATTTACTTAGAGTTTAAAAAATATGATCAGTTTAGGGTAAAAAGGCCACATAGTAGGTGGTGTTAAAAGTAATTTTATTACAATTTGTCATGCGCAGTTGCGCACTAGAAAATCACCAATCACTGGGCGTGTCAATCAATTTAAAGAAATACTTTATTAACAAACATTAATAATCATGAAAAATATTTTGAATTTAACTCGAGTGGACTCGGGAATAAGTCCGAGTCCTAAAAAAAAATGTTTTCGAGTACGAGTCAATTCCGAGTCCAAATGCACACGAGTCCATGACAAGACCAAGACCACTGAAATATGGTCTCGAGACCGAGTCCGAGACGAGTCAGAGTCTCGAGTACTACAACACTGCTAATTATTTCCCGTCTGCTTTTCTGTTGTTATCTCAGGACGCTAGTACAACCAGCTCCAGTTTGTATCCAGCATCTCACGAAGACTTCAGATGCCCCAACACCTGTGTAGAGACGACTCAATGCCGGCGATATGTTAAGCCCTAAATTAATACATGATTAACTACCGGTAAATGTATTTTTCTATGTACATTTCTGACTGTACGTGTGTTGGTTACGTTTTACAGAAACCGTGGAACATGCAGTGTTTGTGGGCACTGGGTCGTGGTGGGCACACTCACTACATTTTAACACACAATTGACATGAGTCGATTTCGTGCGAGCCCTGTACCGAGGCGGGCTGTGTTTGTGTGCAGCACTGGGCTGTGGCCGGAATAAAAGAAAATACACTGCTTATAGACCTTATGTAGCCCCGCCCCTTTTCAGCTCTGCGCTCGTTGTCTTTTGACTTCCGGTCTGTATTTCCACAGCGATCTTGCATAGTATGAATGAACTGCTCATAAAAAAAATTCCCGTTCGACATTTTTTAAGACATCTGCTTTACAATGCTTATGATAAACATTACAATGCTCATGATAACTTTTGTTAACTCTACAATAAGTAAATCCACTTCACCGGCTATATACAGAACCGGAAGTTCAAAGACAATACTCTAAAGATGACGGCGCCCACGTTTCTCTGGTGCATAAGGTCTATATGATTTTTCTGGGTCGCCGTGGAAACGTCATTTGTTTGGAGGCAAATGGGCCGTAATACCGACTAGAACAGTTGCATTTTCTGGAACTGAACAAGCAAAAAGTTTCGGTGGAAGCTGGCCGCAGCAAGACTACATTTTATCTGCTGCGAGAGCCGGGAACACGGGTCTCTCGCGCTTTGAAGGCTTTGAGTTTCGCCACTAAGCAACAGGGGGAAACAGCATAAGCTTAAATTAGCTCTAGCAGATAAGAGAGTGTCATTACAGTTTTGTGTGTGTCGGCGTTTGATTTCAGGCGTACGTGTTGTACAGCACAGCAGACT